ACTCTTTTGAAGAAAAAGCGGTGCTAAAAGTTCATGTTCAATCATTAGGTATACGGCAATAAACGGGAACTAATTGAATATTCTGTTCCGATTCCGAAATATAACAACACAAAGGAGTTCTAAATATTTAGAGGCCAATCTAGCAGTATTAACTTCCTATAGGTGAATAGTTTGGCTTACCATGCAATACGTAAGTAATGTAACGTGTTTTTTAATACATTGAGCATTATCTACCAATGTTACCAATAGCTACTAGGCAATAGGCATAAGTATTAGGTAGGTAAAGCACTTTATCAGCTAAGCCGATTTTCGCTAAACAATGAGTGAAGAGATTAATAGAGCTAAACCGAAACTGGAAAAAATAAATCTATTTTTTACAGATAAGTGGCCTATTTGTGTCCAGGTAAGCAAATTCAGTGTTAATACGTGCTTACTAGAGGGCAATACCTAGCTGGAGGTTAGTATCGGCTATGTGACTGTATCAATTTATACGACGACATTTCCGCACACCCGTTCCTTTTCCGTGGTGCGACCATCATCGGAAGTTGGGACAGAGATTCGCGCGTCCCCCTCACCTCTCTACCCTCGTACGCCCCTACACGTCCGGTGCCCGTAGGCCGCCGCTGTCCAATTTCCTCTTCCCGCGTGTATTAATTTCCGGCTTAAACTATTTCATGTCGTTCATTTCCTATTAACATTCGTAATGATTTTTGTAATTCTACCTTAAATGTTACTTTATTCGTAATGACATTGTGTGATAGTGAGCACTAGTATAGACGAAATATAGAGTAGGTTCTTCTTGTTTGGAAAAATATTTTTTGTAGTAACGACCACCATTCCATTTTCGTTAACCATTTAAGTAAGCAAACAATCTTCATTAGCATCTTAATTTGCAGTATTAGAATAATTTGTCATTACGACAATGATAAACAAACGGTACGAAATTTTTTTTTAATACTACTAAAGGAAACATTGCATTTCAAATTGTGGAGAAAAGAAACAATTCATGCTGCCTTCCCAATAGAGAAACAGAGAAACATTGAAATGAAAATCATTAAAAAGTTCCCGGCACCTCTGGGCTCTGACTGACGACCGTTGAATGTAAGCGCTCACGCAATGAACTTATTTCGGGTAGGTACTTCCGCATGTGTTCGAATTAGAGTCCAGCAGACGTTCATCACATTCCGACTGGGACAGTCAACATATCTGTTTACAGGTTTAACTAGGTAGGCGTATGATTAAATAATAAATGTTCTGATTTTTATTGAATAGCAATCACCTACCCCAACTTCAATGCACATTGTATTGTACTTACAGTACCTATTCAAAGTCGTCGAGAGATATACAAAGTGCATAAAAATACAGCATCGTTGGTCTCAGAATTTGACATCAATATTTACTACTAAGTTTTTAAGTTAAAAATTACGGGTCTATACAATGTATGTTCGGTATTTGTCGTTATCCTATCAGATTTTGCTAGATAAAAGTAGAGTTGTCAAATCAAATCCGTGTTTATAGTGACAAAAACTATAAAAAAATCGCTTGTTCTTCCAACAATATGCCTTTATGGGTAAGAGAATAAATATCGACCCACTGAACCTCGATTATTTTCATTACTATATCAGGAAGTCATTGGGGGAGGCCCATGTTCATCAACAGTGGACGTCTTATGGCTGAAATGATCATAATGATTCTTCTTAAGATGACAACTTCTAAATGTAACTAACGTTTACACTATAACATAAAAAAAATCGCTTCGAATTCTTTCGTTATTTTTTATCTCTGGAAGTTTATGAAATCAAAGTTGTCCCCTGTCATACAAACTACTGAGGTGCAAAAAATAAACGAGTTATCGTAACAAACATAATAAGTATTAGTTGCTACAATGTAGAAGATAAGAAAAACGTTATCACGTAATACCAAACTTGTAACATTAGAATGTTAACAAAGAAAGTAGCAGCAAGTTCTGCGGTCACGGTCACGTATGACCGAACATCATGGTCTTTTATTCTCTAAATTACTGCACATAACTCCACGACAAACGTCTGCATGCCGCCAGAACACCAACGTATACCGGCTCGTGAGTACGAGCGAGACGACACGAGCAGGGAGCGCGGGGCGGGCGAAGGGAGCAACAGGTAAAGATTCCGAGGCCACTTCCGTCTTGGCTGCCGAATATTTCTGTCTCGAACCGGTAGTGGGACGGCGGCCAGGGCACACACGAGATAATCTCAACCTACACGCATACGCATGGATGCAAGTATCAAACCAATCTAATGATTCAACAATGACTATTCCCTCTTATACGCCTTGAATTGAACCATTGGAATTGAAGAAACTTGCATCCATTAACTTTATGATAAAAGTATGTAGGTGCTCAATAGTAGATATCAAGTGTATGCGTATCACAGAGCTTACTAACATACTACACACATAGCAGAGTCGAATGAGCTCAGCTCAAACCGGTTAGCGCTCATATTGTCTCACTCTGCACCAGGAAACTGCCGGCCGGTTGCCGAGACGTTTCCTGTGCTTTGTCTCAGTAATGTCACGATATCTTGAACTGCACGTTGATAGATCACATTCGTGAGTTCCTTGTGTTATGTTATAAGTACCAATGGACGATGAACAGACTACATGAACCTGAAATGCACCTTCGTATCAGTCTAACGCATATGTGCTTCATTCTTTTACGAGTTTCAAACCTTTCTTCTACTTTTTTGGGATATGTGTACATATGTACCTACTTATAATTTCATTACTATCTTCAAAGCCATTGTAATTTCTAAATCTCATACACTAACGTATATCTCTATTACAATTTGCAACAACTTAAATATCATTACCTAAATACTCCAAACAATACATATACCATTCTAGTAATTAAAATATCTAAGTTCGCCCGGAAATTAAGCGCATTAAATCCGTATCAAAAAACAAGACTTGTGGCTCTGCGATAACTGTACAAACAAGGAAATATTATGAGTTATTAAAAACTGGCGCGCTGACGTAATTCTACCACACTAACAAGCACTTCCGCGTGCCCTAAGCAAGCAGGCACACTCGTATAATAATCCCATTCGTACGTTCCTTCATATTATAATTAAGTAGGTAAGCACAGATTTGCTTCGACAAGTACTAATCGAAAGAGTATTGTCTGTCAACGCCAACCTACCCCGATAACGGTTTGCGGAAACAGTGCTCGTACGTTTAGTTAAAAATGGGACTTGGTCTGGCTCCCGAAGTTTTATCTCAATGTGTGAGGTGGCGAGGGGCGACCGGGCGTGCGGGAGGGGAGTGGTTGGCGCGCGTCCGTCCGCCCGCGCCTCCACCGCATCATCAGTCCGCGTCGGAGAGTTGCCCGCGACGCTTGTCTGCGAGCTCGATCCCTCAGATACGCTGCTGGTTTACGGCGAGCCGTAACACGACACGTTTGGAGGGACCGCCGCTGCTTCGCGTGTGCCTGGTGCTCTGTGAACACTGGATTCTGTGCTACAAGTGTTTGTGACAATGTACATGTGCTGATTTACCAAGTTACCGTCTACATATAGGATTTTGACGACGCAACCAGTTCCGGATCAGCTCAGCCGGTAAGTAGCGGTGCTTATCGCAGACCACGCTATCGCGGACTCACGCATTTCCGACCGCGCCCGATAAGGCAACTGACTGTACCTACAGTGCCTAGAGATACGAACTCCGAATCCGGCCGCAAATTATACTTCGTAGTAATTTAAATGTTTGTTTTGCTGTTAGTTTAAAAATCTGCCATTGCTGTAAAAAAAATCAAGCTAAATAAGTAAAAGTTATTCTTAGCGAATCAAAAACAATCGTTAATATCATTTCAACTTGTTAAATTCTTAAAAAATGAAGACAGAGCCTCGAAACTACCTTAGCTGTCCCTTGCTATTGTTACACCCAAATTAAAAAAAAAACAACAAAGAACAGAAAACGATTACTTCCATGTAGATGTATGTTATAAAATTATATTATTCTTCCGCTTATAAATAAAACCAAATAAATCCAGAACTCAAAAAAGTAATTAATGACAATAGTAACATTTTTGTCGGTTATAATAATTATATAAATTAACCCCTATTGAGGACGAAAATTGTGAATTTCATAACTAATGATTTAGAGTAAGAGGCATTACCTAAATATAGAATATTGTTTTCTTTTTATCCAGAAACACACATCGTCCAATAAATTGTTGTCGTCGCTTTATGAAAACATATAGGCACCTAGTTATCAAAATGTGCTATCCTGCACTCAAACATAGAAACTACTGAATTTTTGACATGACAATTAAAAAAAAATTAGGTCTTCCAGTCTATCATTTTAATTTTAACTACAAATATAAAACCAAACAAGAATTGTTTTAACTCTATGATATAAGAATCAAAACTGCTTTATTTGTATCTCAAAACATAAAAAAATGAGACTGGTTACAATTTAGCTAACCCAAATAAGTTGCATTATGCATCAAAGCAAAATAATCACGCTTGCTTAAACTGTTACATTATATAATATCAGTATCGCAATTTTACTAAAAAGTTTTCAATAAAATGTAATAAAAACTATACCTAAATATATATTGATTTCTATAACTTTACGTTTTCCTTATATAACACCATATATAATTCAAATCTTTCACGTGTCAATACGCTGAGAACCTTGATCTAAAATACTTTAAGCGTTGTTAAAAAAATCGCTTTCTTTGGTATCAAAATGACAGTAGTATCATTTTACGCGGTATCTAACAATGACAGATAAGAAGATCCCATCAGTAGAGATAAGAACATAAAGTAAAATAACACTACCACTTTGGCGCCACCTGTTATCTAATAGCTGAACTGTATTAACGGTAACCCATGCAGTACCGATTTGAATTTAAACTAATTAGGATTCTATTTCACTTAGTAACGTACGCAAGTTTGAATTATGTTACAGTTTACTTAGTTTGTTATAGCAAGCTTTTCAATGTTGTTACAGACACAGTCGTGATGAAAGTTGTCAGTCTCCAACTGCCGTCGGGGCCGAGCATGGAGCGGCTACCGCTACCATTCAGCCCAACGGAGTTACTATGGCGATACCCTCTACCGTGGGCCCCTCCACCGCCCTCACCGCTCGGTGATGCCAAGGCCCAATTGCCAGCTGGTCTTCCTCCAGAACCAAGATTATGGACTAGGGAAGACGTTGCTGTTTTCCTGAAATGGTGCGAAAGGGAATTCGATTTGCCGAATTTCGATATGGATCTCTTCCAAATGAACGGTATATATCTTTTTATGAAAATAACCTTTTATTCAATAGATATCTATTAGATAAATTTAACTAAAAATCCATATTATCTATTTTTCAGGTAAGGCTTTGTGCCTTTTGACGAAAACTGACTTGGGTGAGCGTTGTCCTGGTGCTGGTGATGTACTACATAATGTCCTGCAAATGCTAGTAAGAGATGCAGCATTGCTTGGCAGAGTACCATCGTCTCCAGTGACACCCACAGCTCGTGCAGCGCCTTATCCACCATCCCCACATTCTCACCCCCCTACTCCAACTTGGGCTGTCGACAGCTTTCACCATTTCCATAGCGCTGCGGCAGCGGCTGCCCAGCCGAATTCTGTGACTTTAAGTCCAGCCCCATCAGTAGACAGTTCAGGAAGCCCACAAAGAGGAGAAGCTGTTAATTATGCCCCGAACTATGCACCTTCTATGCCTGCTACAACTCAGGCGGCAAGTTCAGGAAGCAATCATTCTGATTCGGATGAAGAAGCTCAATTCGCGCCACCACCACGATCCCCTAAGGATGCGCCATTATCCAGCCCGGCACCACAGCCTCACTCAGCGCCACAGCACTCACATTACCGAGCTCAACATAGGGAATTCTTCCCGAACGACATGCCAGAGTCCAATACAAGTAAGGATCTATTATTTCTTTTCGATTAAATTAATTAGACTAACAGCAAATATGATATTCGCAGATTGAGTCATTTAATCGTGTTACTTATTTAATTTATTTTTATTATTTTCAGATGGAAGATTACTGTGGGACTTCCTACAACAGCTATTAAATGATCCTTCTCAGCGGTACACCAACTACATTGCATGGAAAAATAGAGAAACTGGAGTATTTAAAATTGTAGATCCTGCTGGATTAGCAAAGCTGTGGGGAATCCAGAAGAATCACCTTTCCATGAATTATGACAAAATGTCACGAGCTTTGAGATACTACTACCGCGTTAATATTCTTCGAAAAGTGCAAGGCGAAAGACATTGCTACCAGTAAGTAAAAATAACATTTGATACACATTTTTCTGAAACTTTTTATGTAAAGTACGAAAACTAACAAAATTCTTTCCTGATTGCAGGTTTTTAAGAAATCCAACTGAACTGAAGAACATCAAAAATATTTCATTGCTGCGACAACAAATGAGTCCCACGAGGGTGGTACCTCAAGCTGTCGTGAAGACGGAAATGAAGGAAGAACGTTGCGACGAAGAACCTGTAGATGAAGACATGCCTACTGACTTGAGTATGGCAGCATCAGAGCCGTGGCGGAAACGTGCGCGACCGGATCCCAATCCGGTTCAGCCGCCTCATGATAAACACCACATTAGTGCTCTTATTGGTGAAAACATGATGATGAAACGGGAATCAGAATACGCCACTGAACATTACGCGCTTAATCTTAAAAGTGAAAAATGTGAACAATGATTATAAAAGACTTGAATCGTGGGACACTTATCAGTGCAAAACGCATTTTTTGCATATTCAGTATGCAACCAGCTCCACCCACTAAAATTCTAGTCAAATTCCTCTCAGGAAGGATATTTAAGTCTTCCTCTAAAAATATTAACGTACTTGATGAACAATTACTGAGAGTACTTTGACAGATTTAGGATGGTCATTGGAGTTTAACAGGGTATGGACCTTAATGATGCCTTTGTGCCAAGTGATTTTTATACCTAATAGTGTCAATTATCTATCTAAATAGTTAGCAAAAGGGACGAGAGTTTATTTGTGTTAAAGTCATAAAAATATTACCTATAAGATTTGTGCAATGGACTATTACTTAACTGTTGACTGAGATTTAGCAGTTATTGAAAATTGCCACAACTCTGTATCTATCCATATGTTACGTGCGGACTGCGCACTCGATTAATGCATTTGCGTAATTTAATTAGTTTTATGAGTGTTTTATATTTTTGTTTAGATTTGCTAAAAAGAGAAGATATATTCCAAAAGAACTCAAAGGATTGAAAATTTAAGAATATTATAATAATTTAACGTCTTCCATTCGTTCTTTTTGGCAAACCTTCAATTGTAGCATGTGAAACGTAATTACTATAACATCTACCACATAAATGCAAAATAATGTATTTGGCAGCTTTCGAATTGAAGTAATGTTTGGTTTGTAAAGAAATATATAAAAATTATTATTATAAAAAGACAATAAAATGTCAAATATTTTAAAATGAAAATGCCTTGAAATCAATAAAACACACCCACTGTGATAAAAAATAAAGTGGTAGACATACTACGATAGGGATTTTACTCAAAGATTTCCAGCTACAATTTTCTGTGATCTCTTTTATCAATGTAGGTAGGTAGTTAGATGTTATAGAGTAAAAATGTCTTTGTAAATATTAATTTAGTTATGATTTAAGGAACTGACTGTAAAGAGAGTGTATGTATGATTTGTAAAACAAAAAGTGGAGCTTTATCAAAGTACCTAGTATATCCGTAAGTTCTATAACAATTGAGTTTGTATTTTTACATTTATTTGTATTTGGCAGGATGCCAAAATTTCCAACTTGATGTACACAATACATAAACATAAAGTTTCACATTAAAATGTTGTGTCAGATTTATTATAACTTAAAATAAATGAGAAAATAATTATGTGTACAAGGTCATTTTATTATTATTATAAGTACATACCTGCCTAAATCTAAAATATTCAAAAAAATAAAACTGAATTAGGACGATAAACGGCGACGAAGTAGATACTTAACCTCTTACCTATGCGTAGAATAAATACAAATACTTGCAAATTAGTAAAATTTGAATCTTTAGTAATTATTATTTTTCTAAGATGTTCATTGGTTATTTCAGTCGCGCAGTCGCAACTGCAAAGCAGGTTACGGGTTCGATTCCCGAGAATATTTTTCACTTTGTTTTCGAGATTCATTAGACAATCTCGGTAAAACTAGGAGCACCGACTGACTATAGAAACTCAGTTTATACATAATTAGCTGCACGATATGATTTCCAATGATTTTTGTTTGAAGTTTTCAATTGCTGAGAAAGTCAAACCGTGATGAAACTTTAGTAAGATTCGGCACTTCATCGCGAACAATCTAATGCACTTGCATATCGAGAAAAGGATTATGCTCATTCATCCAGGTTCTATGCAAATATGTGTAACATCTAGTAGCTAGATAATCTAGATAAACTACTACTATAGGTACCAATTATAGATAGCCACAAGACCTCCACTGTTGAACTGAACATAGGCCTCCCCACTGACTTATGATCGGCTAGTTAGTTAATCTGTATAGGTATTGTATCTATATGTGGACCAATAAATACGGGATCATGGAAATCAACAGTTAAATGCCATTCGAATTGTGAATAAATATGTAAATAAACTGTTTCATTCAGTGTAATTAGTGCTAGTACTGCTAGTGCATCTCAACACAATCATGACATGACCCTTCAAGTTCGAATTTTTTTTAAATTTGATGATTAAGATGAAATAATGACATGTTCATACGATCAAAATTATTTTGTACAATAACTCGTTTTTATCGGCATTTGGTTTTGTGTCGATTTTCGGTGGGGAACATTTTAGTTGTTATTTTACTCAAATACTTCATGACGCTTTCGTCATATATCCTTACTAATATTATAATTATTATAAATCGGAAGGTGAGTTTGTTTGTTTGTTCCGCTTTCACGCCGTAATTGCTAAGCCGATTGCTTTGAATTTTAGCAGACGTAAAGTTAGAAGTCCGGATTCAAAGTCAAAGTCAAAAGTCAAAATCATTTATTTCAATTAGGCCAGAATGGCACTTTTGAACGTCAACAAAAAGAAAATTACAAGTGAAGCTATTTGCTCATTCCAAGGTGTAGATTCCTATGGAGAAGAACGAGCAAGAAACTCCATAGGTTACTCTTTTTCAATCAGGTTCACAATACAATTTAATAGTTACATAGTTTTGCTGTTTGGATTGTGCGAGAACAATGTAACACCAAAATCCAGTCAAAGTGATTGAAAAAAGAAATAACCTACGTTTTTTGCTAGTTATTTGAGGGATAGGCAGCAATATGTGGAATATGCGGGACACGTGTCAGATCCATATTTCACGAGGTCCGGGGTAAGTCAAGGGAGTAATCTTGGCCCGTTGGGCTTTCTTTTTGTGGTTAACGACTTGCCGGGGGTGGTCTTAGACGCATCTTGTCTGTTGTTTGCCGACGACCTGAAATTGTCCCTTGAAATAAAGAGCGTCGATGACTGTGTTAGGCTACAGAGGGATATAGATAGGGTAGTGAAATGGAGCAAGGATAATCTATTACAATTCAATAGCTCGAAGTGTGTTACCATCTCATTTTCTCGCACACACAACCCCATTTTACATACCTACTATATTGACGGGTTACCTATGAAACGGGTCACAGAAGTAAAGGACTTAGGAGTAACATTTAACACTGGCTTGTTTTTTCGAGAACACATCATGCGGAACTGTAAAAAAGCATATAGAAATTTAGGTTTCATGCTGCGTACAGTACGAGGGCTTACTAATGTGAAAGCTATTATAACATTATATAATGCATTGGTGAGAAGCCAGTTAGAATGTAATGCAGTCATCTGGGCTCCGCATGAAACTAAAATAGTCTCATGCTGGAGAAGGTACAAAATAAATTTATAAGATATTTGTATAAGCGCTATTACGGAGTCTATCCCTTTTACCCATTAATGTATCCCACCTTATTTATTTTAGGTATGGTTGGATACAATGAACTAAGGGTTAGAAGGGATCTTGCATTAGCTTTATATATATTTACATTGCTAAGAGGGAAAGTGCATAATGCAATTATTTTAAGCCAGGTGAGTCTGTATGTTCCGGACAGGTACGTGTGGCGACGACAACAGCCACGACTGCTGGTGGAACCGCGTTCTCGGACTAACCTTCTGAAGGACGCGCCGCTGACGCGTGCGTTCCGCACGCTCAACCTCATAGCGAGTGAGACGGACTTATTCTACTGTTCTCTGAGTGAATTCACAAGGAATGCTTTGTTTGTAATTAGTTATAAGCAATAAGTCAGGATTAAATAGTTCGCATTTATCGCATTGGGTCATCCTGTAATGGTAAATGTAAGTAAGTAAATAAATAAATAAATAATAAATAAATAAATAAACCTTAAAAACAATAAAAAATACAGTCTGGAGCTGACCAGTCCCAGTTGACGGCGCCCGTTCACGAACATGACACGTACACCAGCACCGCCCAACTCAACCATATTGTAGGGAATCGAGCGATCCACTGCACGCGCCACCGCCAATGAGACCTTTGAGTGAGCATGACAACTCCAAGCTGACACAAATAAATTTTACTAATCTGATTTAATATTAAGTTAATTACAGGGCTCTCACATTTACAACGCTTATCTAAGTTAAACAACATACAATTTAGCAATATAGTTGTATTATTTACGATTTCATTAAAACAACAGTGTTTTTAGTTATCCTGTGGAGCCGGACTAGCCTGCATCCAAGCATTTTTATCCTCTATATATTCAATAATAGGGTACTTTTTATCCCGGAAAAATTGATATTCTCGAGGGAAAACAAAAGTATTGGTATAGATGGCGCTGTTTGTATTGGTATATGTCACATAGGCTACTTTTTATCCTTTTTTGACGCGAGCGAAGCCGCGGGTAAAAGCTAATATCTTTATATAGTACACGTAAAATCATCGCAAAACTCAGAATTTTTTTTACATATTCACTATAATACCTACTCCTAGCAGAAAACAAAGGATGAAACGGACCAAAACTAAAACAACCAAATAAATCATAGATAGACAGACTAAATATAATAAGTGCTCTTAGCCAAGACAATAATTATGAAAAACTTGCTCAAAAGTAGCTAATATAAATAATGATGTGGTAAAAAAAACATGTATATTTTCAAACCTAATTTTATTAGGAAACTACAATTAACAATATTATCCTTAGAAACTATGAAAACTTAAACATTTATGAGTTAACCATTTTTAGTTAATAGTCGCACATTACTACTGTTCTGGCACATTTTGGAAGAATATAACATCATCTGCAATGATTGTTGAGGCAGATCTGACTTGACCATCATCCATTTTGACTTCTCCATATGATAATTTACCAGTTATATAAACTCTTTGGCCCTTCTTTAAGTATTTATACACTGTGTCTCTTAAGCCCGGTTTAAAAATACTTATTCTATGCCAGTCAGTTCTTTGCAACATGTCGCCGGATTCATACTTGTAACTGTAATGAGTGGCTAATGGAAAGTTTATCACTGGATGTTCCTCTGAACCTCGTTTCTGTGGATCAGCCCCAACTCTCCCCAGTAGTGTGACTTGGTTGATTGCTGAAAATAATTAAAAATATAATTAGTGTTATCCATTGTATTTAATTTAGCCATTTAACTCGTGAGTACCGTTTTTATAGACACAATTAAAGAACAATAGGTTGCGGTCACCGGTGGCCGCTTGGTGTTTGACAGTTTAACTTGTATATCCTCAAGTAGTCACCGGTGACCGCTCTCCACTAACTATATTATAGACCTTATCTCCGATGTTTAGAGACTACTTTTGTACGAACAAATTTAGGGGATGATTTTCAACAGGTTAATACACTTCATAAGTGTTTACTCACTTTTCTCAGATTTTTGTGAATTATATCTTAATAAAGTTTGTTGAATTCCAGTTGCTTGTTGCAATATTTGGGGTACCTGCAAATAAAACTTGTATGTATAATATTTTCAGGACTAAGTAGAATGACAAAGACACCACCACATCTTAAAAAAATTCTATTTTCTAAATGTTTAAAAACTATACTCGATAGGGATAATAACAGGGTATTAAAATTAAAAATCTCATTAGTCCGTCAGTTAGGTAATGAAAAAACATTACACATATTTTTTTAATTTGTCGTATAACAAAATAATATTTTGATAAAACGAATCAAAGTTTAGGAGTGGTAGGTAGCTGCATCATTTAAGAGTATAAATCGTATTTAAAAGTGACTTCATGCAATATTTCAAATCAATATATCTTTGAAACTAATCGTTTCTGTAAGAATATAAAAAATATGTGTCTAATGTTTTTTCATTACCTAACTGACGGACATTAAAATAAAAATTTGTATTCTGCCCTAATATACTAATGTAATGAAACTATGTTTGTAGGTACAAAATTACAATACATGTCTGTAAAGAATAACAAATTTACTTAACTTACATGCCTATTTATGTATGTAACTAACTTATCACAACAACAAATAATGATCAGTTAGTATCCTTCCTTAGGGGTAAGAAAAACAGTTGCAAATGTTAAAAAACTATTTGTAACCGTTTAAATAAATGTAAGTGAATTGAAAAATATTCACATTATATTTTGAATCACGACAAGATTTAGTACTTGAACGTTTTGTGGAAGAGCTTTTTAGATTGAAACAAACAAAATATAACTGTAATTTCCTGCCTGAGGCACCGGTATGGAATAAATAACGACTAACAATAAAACATTACTTACCCTACGTCCTAAAAACATGATGAACGTGTTTGAATAAAAGTTAGTTATGTAAGAATGCTTATTAACTATCAAAATGTTTTATTATCCTGGTTAATAAATTGATATTGTACGGAATTTAGAAACTTTACAGGATAACCTCAAAAGTACTCAAAACACAATACGAAAAAACGATTATGTGATATGTCAAACAAATGTCAATCGTTGAGTTTTGAATACTGGGTCTTTGAACACAATGCGAAAACCCACGTCCATTTTAAGTTTGCAAAACAGTTTGCTAAAACTTAACAAGTTTATTTCTGTAATAAATCATGATCGGAAATGTTGTAAATAATTTAAAAAATGCTTCTTAGGACGAATTATATTATTTGCTAAGAAATTCTTGACGCCTGCCAAACTCTATCTATTTTACTACGTCTGTGCTTCTTGGAAGACATTCCAATATGATTTTACATGATGTTTACATGTTACTAAAAAAACATAATGGTAAGCATGTATGTGACCCTGCGATGGGTTCCCGTCGTGGAAATTAGAACTAAAACTGATAGTATAAAAGGGTAAAGGGTAAACCTAATTTTAGAGACTGATACAACGGTACGGTTTATATGGTAGACAACAGTATCTGCGTTAAGTGTTACCAGGTTAAAATATATTATCCAGTTCTACCAACCTCAAGACATAAATTCGTTTACGAGTTGCGTCGTTCATGGTTCTCCGGAATGACAGTTGTTTTGTGGTTATAAAGATAGATAGAAAATTCTATCTCTATCTCTTCAACCACCACCATTCGCAAACCGGGAAGAGTTGTTGCCAGTGAAGGATGCCTTCAGCCGCGAATGCAAAGTCCGAAAAACCAGCCTCTTCGGAGGCTATGGATAACTCACCGATAAGACAAATTATGACGATTATTGAACACAAAATCCGTAATTTGGAGAAAAGAAAGGTACGTACTTCATGTATTAGTCAACATTTATATACTGATAATTGTTTTAAGATTAGCAAGATTTCGCGAAGGTATTGTTGTTGTGAAGTTTTATAGTTTTTGAGTTTGTCTAAGCCGTGTACATTTTGCGTGCGAACCGCGTAAAATATTGCCGCAGACTTGACGCCATTTTCACACATGTGCTCATGGTATGTTGACGATACAATAAACCATGACGCCCTAACATTTACAATCTTATTCTTGTAATCAATAGTGTTGATGGAAAGATAATCTTCTAACTACAGGTGCCACTAAACACCATAAACCTCAAAACGTGGTAAAAACAATGTTTTATTCATAATACTACAAAATACCACGAGAGTCGATAATCAGCATATCGACAACGACAAACGTTATTATTGTGAAATTCGTGGTTTTGTTACTTCATTTCAATAATACTGCAACATATAAGTCGTAACTTGCACAGGTGATATATAAATAACATGTTTATAAACCAATGTACATAATATCAGATAAAGGTGTATCAATAAACAAATCAATTTAGCAAGTCAAATGGATCTGGATTGTATTGTACTCTCGGTTTTATTCAATTTGTCTATATTATTAATTGAGCTTTTACTAAGCCCATGTATTTATGAAATTATGACCAACCAAACAGAAATAAGATTTAATATATTAATAAATTATGTCATTTGCTTTTGAAATATAAACTGTTTTACAAGCAAACAATGATCTTTATAAAACTATTTAAAGTAAATCATCAATCAGATAATAAATAATTTGGAATGTGTCAGTACCACTGACCGTATAAAAAATTGTATTAACCTCTGCGCTGCCTCTGAGACCCATCATAAAATACATTATATTTCATTGTCATCTACATTCTGACAAGCTACAGAATAATAAAGTTAAGAGCTTGTATAAGTGTATTATTCTTAACTCTTTGAGTACCGTCATTATAGACACAATTAAAGAGCAATTGGTTGCGGTCACCGGTGACCACGCGCGGTGTTTGACTTGATTCTCAAAATACATAATTATTTGTATATGAAGATATAACTCTCATTTTTTCAATATTAGTAAATGCCAAATTGCCACATGATTTGTAATAACTTTGCAACTGCCTAATTACAAGACACATATTTAATGGGTTATTACACTGAACTAAAATTTGATATCATTAGTTTGAAATTAACCTCTTGACTGCCTGTATATAAGGCACAGTAGAAAACACATTGTGTCTCGTGTAGATCTACGTTCCTGCATACCACAGTTTTAATAACGTTTTAAAGAACATTGAAACTTAACTTAAAGAGGTATTACTATTTGAGCCTATTGCCATGGAATAAAATTCCAGAGTTCATATTATTATTAAATACCCTTGTCCAACAGAGTCTTTATTTATGGCTAAAATATAATATATATATTTCTAAATTATTGAAATTATTATGTAATTTATAATTTATATGTTATAATTTACAGAGCAAGTTGACATCATATCGAGACTTGCAAAAAGCTGGAAAAGAACTGAACAGTGATCAGAAAGTAGCAGTTGCTAAGTATGATGAAGTTGCCCAAACTCTAGAGTTTGCAAGAGAGCTTTCTAAGCAAGTTGCATCAATAGCTACTTCTGCGGAACGTGAAGCTAAGAAACAAGCAAAAAAGGTATGTGAAATATTCCTGGATTATGTTAAGGTCCAGAAAATGTTAATTTATTAATTAACATATTTATGTAAAGATTATTAAATAGTTAAATATAGATAACATAACATAACATCACGCCTTTTATCCCCGAAGGGGTAGGCAGAGGTGCACATAGAAGTAACACCCACTTTTCACTATTTATGTTACGAGTCCCATGTAATAGGGGGTGAGCCTATTGCCATATACCGGGCACATTTCCAGACTCCGTGCTACTACTGAGATTTTTAAAAAACCCCAGTAATACTTTGCCCGACCCGGGAATCGAACCCGAGACCCCTTGCCCGGCAGTCGCACTTGCGACCACTCGGCCAATGAGGCAGTCTATAGATATATGTTATATTAAATTATAGTTTCTTTCTAACCAGCGATAAAAGTTAAGGCTACAATTACAGTAAATATCCTATGATCACGTTCCAAGTAATACAGCCCATCCCATTATCTCAGTTCACTATCGGCCGAAATTAATGACTTAACTCAATCCAAAATGTCTGCATTATGACAGATATTCCATACACCTACTGCCAATTTAAAACATATCCAATGATTTTGGATTAGAATTGGTTCCTTAGTATCGGCCATGATCTTTAACAGAAGGTGCCTGTGGGATTGCGATTATGGCCAACCATCTTATGTTTTATGATAAATTAAGATAAATCTAATAAAATTGTGCTTTTTTACACAGGATGCATGGGTTCGGTATGCAGCAGAGACCAGCAAAATCCGAGAAGTATTGCTGGTCTTGGACTGCCTTAACCAAATGGGGAATACAGAAGCAAGAAATGATTTCTTGAATGGAACCAATGGTGCAGTCAAGCTTACCGAAGAGGATTTGAAAATTTTAGATGATCTGTAAGTTATTGTTACATGTTATGTTATGTATGCTGTAAGTTATTTAGCTTTGTTTAACAATAATATGGCATATTTTATTAAAGTCAGAGACATGCTCGTGTGTCGTGGCGCAGTGGCCACCAATAGGCTGTTAGCATTTGTCGACCCACCTAACACATCACACAACACACAAGTGTGACTCTAACCATAGTAAATGAATGAAATAGATAAGCTTCTGGCGCGCCAGACATATGGGTTCACGCAAATATAGTATATTTCTAGTATAATTTTCAGGTTCTTTTATTATTCCGGTCTAATCATATTTGTGTACATGTTACTCAGTAAAAACCTAAGCAGAGAGTTCAGTGAAATTGAACCATATGGTATACTAGCTTCTGCCAATACACATATGCACGAATAGGTGATTCCTATTTTTCACATTTGGTAGCAATTCCCCTAAAGAACACATGCCAAATTTAAACTCTACAACCAATAATCGTTTTGGCTATGTAGTCTGTTAGTCAGTATAAATTGTATAAATTATTCCCATAATTTGTATTCTTGCAGATATCCTGAAGTGACACCCAAACATGAGCCTAATGAGGAGGGCCAACCTGGATTCCATACTCATACTACGAAAGCTGCTGAACATCTGTATGCCATTGTTGATGGGAAACCTAAAGAAGTTTTGGGTACCACTTACACTCGTATCAAGGAGATTGTTAGTGCAGTCCATGAATGTGGCTATTTTGATCGTTCAGCAGAAATAATAACATCTGAAATTGAAGAAGTCCATGGCCTGCCAGTGGAAGCCGAGGTTGTAGAAGCTGTGGAGAATGACGTGGAGGCTGAGGTGGCCGCTGCCTATCCGCCGGGGGCTCTGCCAGTGCCACCAGCGCCCGCCGTCGTTCCCGCGCCTGCTTACCCGCTCAGACCACTGCCACCTATCACGTTACAGGAGGTCGAACATGCTTATTTCGCTCAACAGTATCCTCAACAGAGGCCTATCGCCGAGGTCATAGGATCACAGAATTTCTTCTTTTTACAAGAGTCTGAGATCGATAGCCCCATCGGCACTCCTCAACCGCCGGTGATGCCCAATCAGCCGTCACCTCCGGCGCCCATTCCAACGCAGACGTTCACGAACCAACACTTCGTGCAGCTGCCGGGCGGGCGCGTGGCGGAGCCGGGCACGCTGGCCATGGCGCCGCAGCCACACTTCCCCCCGCACCCCGAGCACGCGTTCCCGCCCGGCGCCGTGCCCCTGCATCCACACCACCCGCACCACGCGCTGCCCCCGCAGCCCGCCGGCCCGCCCCCTGCCGGGCCCCCGCAGCCCGCCGGCCCCCCGCAACCGGTGCAAGTACTAGCCGCCGCGCCGCCACAAGCGCCCTCCGCCGCTCCCGCAGCCGCACCGCCTCGTCCTGATGAGCGACCGGTCGCGTCGCCTGCAGACGATAAAAACGACGATGACGCTAAGGAAGGTGGAAGTCCCGAACGCGACGAAGCTGGTGAACGCAAAATTCATGGGCAAGGTGATGGCCAAGCCAGGTACCGACGATTTGGACGCGGCGGCGGCGGTGGCAGCGGTAGGGGCGCTCCTAACGGACACCGTGGTCGTGGAGCGTTCCAAAACAGACAAGGAGGCGAAGGCTACCGTGGCAGGCACCCGGGAGACTACCAGGGCAGATCTGGTAAAGATGGCTACCAAAACAGACAATATGACGGCTATCAGAACAGACACGGCAAAGACAGTTACCAGAATCGTGGAGACGACCGTGATGGATATTACGGCAATGGCGACACTGGTGACAGCCATCAACAGAATGAAAATGGTGGTCGTGACCGATACAACGACAACCAGAGCTATCAAGGTGGATTCAAGGGCCGCGGCAGAGGAGGACCTCGCGGCGGAGCTCGCGGTACGACGCGTCCTCCTCGCGCACAGTACACACGTAAACCAGAAAAAGTGGAATAGTTGATGTGGATCTCGACGGTGACTTGCGTTAGCGATATCACCACGATATATAAATGTATTATTATGACGGACAAATTCATTCGTGAAAGGCAGATTTCACCGGCAACAACGCGCTGTGGTTAACAAACGAGAGATTATGGTATAAAAATAATAAAAAAGAATAAAAAAAAAGTAACTTGAGTTTAGATGTATGATATATGCAGTTATTAATACTTACGTAATTCTAGATTCTTGTATAAGTTATGTCACACACGTGACTATAGTGACGCGGTTCGAGAGGGCCGCTCGTGGCCGCCGTCTGTCGCTCAGTACCTCGTGCGTGCCTCGTCCTCGTGATAATATAAGTACAGGAGATGTGCACACAACTGACTTGAACACTGTCAACTGGGACCTTTTTCCAAATCACATTGATCTTTGTACTTTAATACAGTTGGTTTAAAATAATAATTATAATGTGTTAAGATATTATATACTTGTTTCTCATAAAACATCAAAGTATATTGTAAAAGCTTACATCTCAAAATGTAATTATAATTTTGCTACTATTCCTGCGCATGTTTTTGAGTTTTGTTTTAATTATATTGGAATTGAACAGGTACATAATACCTAATAATAACTATCTTATACCTCTTGACATTTTATGATTTAAGCTACCAAACTGGCCATATCACGTTATGTATGTAACTGGATTATGTATGATGTATCGATCTCTTCGTGAATAGCTCTACTTGATTTTACTTGTAATTATTTATCCTTCAAATAGAGCTATTATCGTCACATTGATCAGAAGTAAACATATTGTGGTATTTGGTTTCCTGAATTATTTTTGTTTGTCTTGTTCAGACTTTTTTATATATTCCTTAACATTGTTCTCAATAGAGGCTGTGTGCAAGCAAATTAAAAGTATTCTGTAAAATTAAATGAAATTTTATTTAAATCCTGTACCTGTGACATGTCATCAAAGCGCATACAATTTCAAGATTCATGATTATGGTTTTGGTAGTGAGTTAATTCAGATCGATCGACATTGATATTGTGAAATTTCATAGTATTGAGTTGTAATATTAGCGCCCTTTGTATCCGTCTTGCATAGATATGGAATGAACTAAATAGTATTGATGAGTTTAGCTTTATATTCCGTACTCTGAACGCTATTTAAGCCGCTACGATTGAAATTAAACTGACTCTTTGACATTGACTAGAGTTTTAACCGAGTGTGCAGACTATAACAATCGAGTTTGAAGATTATAACAATGAGATTTTGAAGGCTCAAGCGGTACATATGTATTTTTTTTAAAGGGGGGGAAGAATCATTGAATGACTGCTCCCGCCTGGGTGAGGCGGGAATGAGTGTCGGACTCTTACTGACTAAAAGCGACCCCGTTCCTTCTGCGCTTCGAGCCGGAGCCCCGGTAACCCGTTAGGTTCTCCGCGACAGTTGCAACATAAATATGGAAGCTCTACGAAGTACCTCTTTCTCTTCAGAGTTTCGCTCTGTGTGCAAATGCAAAGCAAGTACTCTTACTACTAGTTATACGAGTTAACAAAGTCGAAGTTGTTGCCACGTAGGTATGTACGTCGCCGTTGAAACATTTGTTTATAAGAAATTGCCTGTAAGTTCTATTAGGCGTAATAGGGTAGATGCCTAATTTTTATTTTAATGTCCGTTTGGTAGATTATTTTAAATCATTAGACACGTATTTTTTATTTTTTTACAGAAACGAATACTTTCGACGATCTAATGATTTGAAATGTCGCGTGACGTCACTTCTATGTACATTTTATAGGTAGAAAAGACGTTTTAGCCCCCACTCATAAACTTTGATTCGTTTTATCTAAGTATTTTTTATTATACGACAAAATAAAAAAAAATACGTTTCTAATATTTACGTTTAAACTTACGGACTATTTTTTTTTGTTTTTACACTTTATAGGTCGACGTTTGACCATCATCTCGCCTGATGGTAAGCGATGATGTGGCCGACGATGGAGCACGCCTACCTATGAGCAACCTGTTCACTCGGGACTTAAAGACACCCAAGTCGTATTTGACGGGAAACAGCCTCTGACAAGGAATTCCATTCCTTAGCGGTTCGCATGAGGAAGCTTGACGCGAAATGCTTCGTGCGAATGGGTGGAATGTCCAAGGGTTTGAGCGGCGAAAAGGGATAGAAGAGGGGTGAACACTATTGAGAATTTCCTTATATCTATTCACCCCTTCTGTTCCTATTCACCTCTCGATCCCTATTCACCACGTAACTGGGATGATGACAAGGTATGAAATATAAAAATCTAATTAGTCAGTAAGTTTACACTTTTAAGGCTTTAGAGTCGGCGTTATCTGACCGCCCGAATTACTGTGCAGAGATTAAGAGTAACAATTTAAATTCAACAAACAATGTCCAGAAACCCTGGTACGGCCTATTGTCTATTTGGTACAGGGTAATAAAATTATGGAGAATCGACTACATTAGTTTGCGAAAATCTTTAAATTCTCAGTGGCTTTGACGACCTCCTTAATATATGGTCGCTTTCGCTATAAGTGTATTAATTCAATGATTTAAGTACATTAATATCCAATACGTACTTAGTGAAAACAAATGTTAATTAACATGCTCATTATTGATATGTTTTTGGTGAAAGGATATTAATGAAACAAAGGAATTAGCTAGTAATAGGTTTTATTCGATAAAATTGCCGTTTATGTCTTATAGTAAGAAATGGTATGAAAACAAATATAGACCTATACCTGTCCAATCTGAACAAAATAAATTAAGTCCTCTTTAACTTTAATACCTGACAGAACCTGTTTTATTTTACAATAACTACTATAAAACTACATTGTCGTAGTCATTTTTAAAAACCTATACAACCTAAATCAATTATACAAAATATCTTCTCATAGTGTACTTATATTTAAAATAGAAATATAATATCGTCACATTTTGTTCATTTATAAATTATAGGGCAGAAAACACCAGTCGTGCCAAATTGTCACTTAAAATAGTTATAGGATCAAATTTTATATAAAAATTGAATTTTAAAATCCTCCAGGAATGTTTTATTTAGAATTTGAACATCACAACAGACTGTAGTTTACTTAATACGGATATATTGTCCACAATAATAATTGCCCCTTAAAGATAATGTAGGGTGAGATCATCAAGATTGTGTTGGTGACACATTGTAAGTATGCAGTTATACTTATTGAGTTGATAATATTCATTCAGTAGGTAATATATAGTTTAGCAGCATGCGTTTATGAAAATAATGGCGGTAAAGAATAACTAAAAATAGGAAAAGGGAAGAAAATGAATTTAGAAGATCAAATCTCCTGGTATTCTAGTAGCTGCATTCATGTCGATTAGACTAGTTTTCCTACGTTTAGATAATTCGACGACTTTGTTGATTGGTATTCAATTAATCGGAAAATATTGGATTGAAAGAATAAGTGGAGGGTCCAATATATCATTCGTTTAAGTTTAAGAACGCCACGGTCGGTTATAGACGATTACCAAAGTGTACTATACTTAAAATTGTGCTTTCTTGTCGGCTATGGCCGATTGTGGCAGATTCGTCCAGTTTTTGTTTGTTGTCTGTAGCGCTTAAAAAGGCAATGTATCCTTATTTGTGGCAGACATCATCATACGATGTTTTTATAATGTAAGTGAAAACTAAAATAAATACATAATCGACATGAACTCTGCTAAACTTGGTGTATCGATAGGCTACATTACTACTACAACCTTTATCGAGTTTGAAACTGGATAAAAATAATAATTGTGATAGATTAGTAAATTGTAATATATTGGTTTGTAGATACATATTAAATATTCAAGACAGTTTACGTACTCACTTAAACCTTCGCAAATACATTAATTAGGCCACAAATTAAATGAATATCACAAATTATTTATGTAGTTACAATATTACTATAACTATACATATAACATAGGTAAAGGTATAAACAAAAAGACATCTCGATTGCTTTAACGTTAGTTTATCTGTCCTCTAAGCTAGTTATTTATTCTCGAAAGTTAACGTTACAAGTCCGTATTGATGTAAACCTCGTTCAAAATATATTAAAGATACATTTAATTTAGACCAATAACATTTTTACTTGATTGACGACCTTAACGACCCTAATCAGACCTAATAAAGCAATCAGGTGTACTTGGGGTACTAATACTATATTATATGTACTATTTAATATACATAGATTGCGCGTTATTCCTCTTACTTTGTATAATACCTGGCTTGTAAATATAAATAGCTGCATTCCTATATATTTCCGGAAATTATTCTTACTTTTCTTATTTTGACACCCAAAGTACGAGACGTATAACAGTCTTATGTGGATACTAGCGATGATCTAACCAGTAAGTGTGATTTATGCGCGTATCAGAGTATTATGATGCAAAATTACAATATATAGCTGTAACATCTGCTAAGTCAATTAGGGAAACCCATAATTGATATGTTCATAAGCTAAGGCCGCCTTCGGTTTATGAATATCTATTACAACAATTTACATGAGCACTGTTTCCAATAAATTTCAACAAATGTATTAAAGAATTCGGTTAATAAGATAAGCAAACAATAAATGGCACTGGAGTATTTAACACAAATACTAAGTAACAGCCAATCAACGAAATGTTAACAATCTTCTTTCAAAAACAGGAAAAAATTCTGTCAAGATACAATTTGGAATATTCTTATTAAATGCTAAAAAATTTAAGATACAAAAAATACATACATACAGCACGTTTTCACATTGTATAAAATTGAAATGAAAATATTGTCCTTATGCGATATTTACTAGAGGCTGAGGGCAGGCGGGTCCGTTATATCATTTGCCGCGACATGGCGTGCCGCAGCTTGCGCTCCCACGCCTCCGCCTCCGCCCACGAGTGCCGTACGTCTCGGAACAACTGAAACATCACACGCTTTTATTATAAACCTGCGATTACAACACACTGTCTAAGGCATTACCCGTCGTCTAAGATTTAATCAAATGGATATCAGATAATAAAAAGGAAACTATAACTATCAAAAATTCACTTACTTGTGACAACCATACTTCATCAGCCAACAATTCGTTCAGGATCACAGTTGTGTCTTTACTAGGATTTTGCATTCTTTTTTCGGCTACTCGTTTACTGCACTCCGCATACATTAGATACTTTTGATGTGATATCCTCGAATACAGTTGTACTCGACTACAACACGTCGCACAAACGAGGAATTCCTGGAAATAAACGATATATTTACACGATTAATAGAGTATTTAAGATTTGATTGATAACACTAATTGGACGGATAAGTTTTGTTCGGGTCAGTTCATCGTGCAGTAGTTTTACATTGAAAACTCTAACTAAATCATTTACCTTTTCATAAGCGAGACGGGCGTCGGGCTGGACGGGTTCTAGCGTGGCAGGGTTGTAAGGCTGGCCGTAGAGCAAGAGTCGCGCCACGGCGGCGCGCGCGCAGGCGCGGCACGTGCCGGCGCCGGCCGCCACGCTGAGGCCGGGCCACGTGCCCACGGCGGCGTCCAGCGCGCGCGCGCCGCCCGCCGTGCCCGCGCCCCCCGCCGCGCCGCCCGACACGCGCGCGCGCATGCTCTCCGTCACCTCGTCCACCGTCTTCACGTTTGACAGAAAGTATTCATCTGAAATGTGACGTAGCAAGTAGGTGTAGGGCTCGCCGCCTGCGTGAGGCTGGCGACCGGCCCCAACGCACGACTGCGACGACTTGTGAGGGTCGTCACTCGTCATTGGAAGTTGGCGCGACAGATGCGCTACGGCCGCGCTGCGGTTACGGAACGCAATAAAACTTTTATGCATCGGGCGTAGCTCGGTGCAGTTGTACTGCTGTTTAGCTGCAACAATGGCTTAAATGAAAGCATCAATATCAACACTTTTTTACTACCCAGCCTATTTTGTAGCCATGCCTGTTGTCGTGTAGGTATGTTTTCATATCGCTAATTAAGCAGGGACATTTATAATAAAATGCTCGCCGAAATGACGAAAAACTATTTTTACCTAAGTAGGTTTGCTTATATGACTATAAGCATTTTACATCATAATAATTTATATTTACATATTCTATGTTTTTAGCATAGGTACTTTATATGATAGCTCAATTACGCTAGCAAAGCTCTGGCAGAAGCTAGAATACTATAGGAAAATATTACAAATACGATTACCTTGTTCTTGAAATATTTCTGTTAGAAAATTAGGATCCAATGCATGTGATATCAAAGTCTGGATATACACTTCAAAGTTCTCTTGGTACATTTGCGTTTCCAGCATTCTTTTTTCAATAAAGCCACAATCATCAGCTGGCAGTTCACTTCTAACTAATTCGACTATTGTTTCCAAATGTGTTTGGGACCTTACTTTGACAGGGACTTGCGTATATAATTTTTTGTTCTCCGGGTTCCATACAGTATACTGTAAACAAAATTTTATAGACATGAAAGCAAGAAACACGTATGTAACGTACATAAACTCAAGCCTTTGCCCCATAAGAGTCGGTAGACATAAACCATACATGGCTAGCCTATTAGCTACTACGATCGATTGATATTTAACTTGGATCAGCGGGTGCAAGAACGACCGACAAGCAGAGTATCGGTTTTGATGCCCAGGAAAGGTGCAGCATTATCAGAAATAACAATTTAGAAATTCTCTACATGGCTATATTGTATTTGTGTATACTTACTGTAGATATATTACGATATAACACCTTGCCATTTTCTTCAAACGGTTCGTACTTCTGTAATAACGTTTTGCCATCAACCCTCCAAATTGCTGGCCACATATCATTCAATTCGGTTTTTAATGCTATAAATTCACCAGACTGCAAATAAAGAAAAGTAGGAATTTAATGAAGATGAAAATATTTAAATAGCAAGGTCTGCGAATAAGGATACTATTTTATAAAAATAAATCTTACCTGGTATGGCATTTCTTCTATAGGTCTTGTGCTGTCTACTTGACCACTACTGGAAACTTGATGGTGAGATTTTATATTATGTTGCATATTTCTGTTTGCCTTATTGTCGTCAGTTGCCCCATACAAACCATAACCCATGTTAGCACCATGTGCTGTAACTAACATAATAAAAATCATGCTAAAGCTTAGTAACTGTACAGTATTAAGCAAACCCAAAATTGTAAAAAAAAAGATATAATAATTATAGCAATAGATACCTAGTTCTTGCCCTTTTGGTTACCGGATCTTTGAGCCATTATAAGATTCGACCAACAAAAAGAAAACGAGATGTCTAAGACATTTCTGATGTGCATTATACGATAGAATTTTTTTGAGTTGCAATTACTTTTTAGAGCGACATTTCAATACATGGTCATTCAAATTATTAATGTAGGTGTTAAGTTTAATTTAAGGAAAATTCCATTATGTCACTCTGTACGCTTATTGGCGTTCCTCGATAAGTAATTTGTGTATGATTTAAAAGACTAGCAAAGGACACTGGTATCTTTTACAACCAATACATAATATTATAATTAAGGTAGGATAGGTAAAGGAAAAGGATAGCCAACTGATGAATGAATTCATCATTGCGATAACATGTACACACATTACAGTAGTACTTGATTTACAATTAAAATAAGAATATTGTTTCAAAATAGCTACGTAATTGTTTAACAGTTCAGTAGCAACATAATTTTCATTTGATTTTTAATGTACATGTTATCCCTAATTGGCGAAGTGAGGGGTGCTACCAGGAATAATTACAAATTAAAATTATTTAACACATTATCTGTAATATACTCATGTTTATTTTATGTCTTCTCCTATTATACAAAATTATTTACATAAAATATTGAGAGTTGTGCATAAACAAATAACAATTAAATAGAAATACAAAAAACTTATGTTCAGGGCATGGCCTTCTAATACATTATCTCGTACTTACTTATAGCTGTCAATGTATTATGCAATTACTTTCCCTTATAATATAAAATCACTTTCAGCTATATAGAATATGCATACACTATTGTAAGTACTAACTAATCTCAAATACTGTAAAATACAATACATTATTATTTTATGTACAACAGACACCCACTGGTATGAATTCCATAAAAAAATATACCATAATTTGGAATTATTAATGGTAGCACCCCTTCAATAGCGAGTATGACAAGAGTCACAAATTCTACAATTTACAATAAAATGGCACTAATAATGTGTCATTAACAACAATGTAAGTGAAATCTTGTTACAGACTAACCCTAAAATATCGACGTTACTAGGATAGGTACATCACATTTCTTTCACAGAAAATATTTACAAATAATATAATCATAGATTTCATCTAATAAAAATTTACATTATCACAGTTAAAATGTAACAAGTTTTCACGGTATCCTGCTCAAGAGGCAGTTAGCTTGCTCCTGTCATACAAGCTTCAGGGCTAGCTCTTCACCATCGCGCTCTACTTCTTAAATGGAAATCTAGTAAATTGAACGCACCTTCGTCGGGCTGGTGTTGGTAATAATATTGTTGCTGTGGAGCTGCTTGTAGCGTCACGGGCGGCGGCGCAGGAGGTCGTGGCTTCTTAGGCGCGGCCGGCTGAGGCGCCACTACCGCCGATGGCGTTGGCTTATTCATACTTGTTCGACCTTTGTTCTTTCCTTTGTCATTCAGAGGTGTACTAGGCACATTGAGAACCGGCTTGTTAAGCCTTCTCGCTTCTTCCTCTGCGTCATAGGCAGTCTCTTCGCTGCCATCATATTTTCGTTTTCTATCCTTATTTAAATTATAATATCGAGGATCCTCCAATTCTTTTGTTTGTGAGGTTAGGAGACTCGATGCCCCATGTAATTGATTAGTACCCAACAAGCCTGTTGCACTCATACTTGCGGAGGAGCTCATGACTGGATTACTCAGTGACATACCTGCGTTTATAACGTTCGTCGACGCCATGGCTCCATTGGCACTTTGCTGTGAGACATTTGTATCACACTGACTTTTGTTATGATCATTTGGTGTGTAAGGCTTATTATTTGTTGCATTATTTGTATTAGTCCTCGACCAGGTAGATTTTCTAGCGCCCCTGCCGGCCGGCGGAGGAGAGGTATCACGCTCTCCTTGTAAAAATTTCAAGTAAGAAGCCATGAAACCTGAACCGGGACCCGTGACAGGAACATTAAATTTTTTATCCATAATTTTTGAAGTAGCGTCTTGTGAAGTGCTGTTAATGTTCTGCTGCTGTGAAGAGGGTGCTACCGATGATGCAGTATTTGCCCGTTGTTCTGCAAGGAAACCAAGTTCTTCCTCTATATTAGGTACTACCACCTTAGGCTGTTCCTCTTCACGTGTTTCAGGCGTCGAAAAAGATGATGAGGAAGCCGAAGGTGGAGTTTCGCTAAAAGACGAAAGTGGTGTTAACTCCACAGACGATTGGAAATCAGGATGAGGACCAATGTGGAAGGGAGGGAAGTAAGTTAGTGCGTGTCCATGAGGCATAGCTAGTGCTTGATGTTGATTCGTAAAATTAGTTGCATGTAAAGGAGCTTGTGAACCAAATGCTGAAGTACCAGGGAACATTTTAGGTGGAGGGGGAGGCAGATTCCACCTCTCAAAATCAAAATAGCTACCATTTTGCTGCTGATTGCTTGTGGAACTATGTGCAGGTGGGGGAATTCTATTTGCCAAATAATCAGCCATAACAACATTAGATAATTCATTCATATTTGCATGAGGAGTAGGTTTCTCCACACTCTTTCTTCTCGAAGGTATTTTGTTAGTTGCTGTTGGAACTGTTACTGGTGGTTGACTTTTGCTTGATTTAACTTCTTGTAATTGACAACTTTGTTGTAAACTTTGCAAGTTTTTGACTATACTCATAGGATCTCCCCGGCAACTAGAGAGATCTTGTAAAGCTACATTATTACCATCAAAATAGTTTTGTTTATCTGGTAAACTTAGCACCCTACTGGAAGATTGATTCTGAGGAACAGATTCATCATTATGAGTATTACTTTCTGTTACACCATTATTGTAACTATTACTACTGCTATTACTAGAATATTTTCTAGGACCTTGTCGGTCACCTTCCCAACAAGTTTGACCAGTCGATTGTGTTTGATTTCGTTCATATCTGCTTTCACTGTAAGTTTTGTTTTGTTCAAGTCCTAAGGCCCTAGTTATTACAGAAGGATAAGCTACTTGACTGTTTTGAGATGGAGACCGTGTCACAGATGCATCTAATGGAGATCGAGGTGCAGTACTATTAACTTTATTGTAATGATCACCATGTGGTTGGGGAGAATTGATTGAGTTCATAGGACTGTGATACATAGGATAAGCAGGACTAGACCCATGGTCCAGAGGAGACGTTTGAGGTGCAGCTTGGGAGGGACTCTGTCTCCTTGGGACAACCACACCACAATCAGGGCCATTTTGAGAACTACTACTTGAATAACCCGTATCTGTACTTGAACTACTTTTAGCTCTTACATGATAATCGGATTCTATATTATTTCCACTTTGATAATGTCTAAAACTAGAACTTTGTGTAGTAGAGTACTGTGAATTATTGATCCTATTTGTTTTTGAAGAACTTCCGGTGCTGCTACTATAATTTAGTCTACCTGGGGCATCCATAATAGAGTAACTTATTGGGGATGACTGAGGCTGAACTTTTTCATTAGAATCACAACTTTTTCTTTGTTCACTATTTAATTCTGGATATATTTTACTTTGAGCTTTTGTCTGTACTTGAGGTGCTTTGACTGTAGGAGACACAAAATTGCTTATGCTATTAGTGATTTGTCTAGATGGCTCTTTACTACTTGGGGTTTTAGGTGATTGAGAATTGTAAATAGAAGCTGATGGCCTAGATGTGGTACTAGAAGAAGATCTGTAATCTTTACTGGGTGGAGTTGAGGAAGAGGTGACTGGTGGAGTTGACACTATACACGATTGCTGGGAATGAGCAGTTGAACTTGCAGAACTTGAATAGGACTTACTTCCTGCATAATCCTGTTGTGATGCAAGTTGACCACTTTTTGCACTGCTTGTACTATATGAATTATCAGTCTGATTTCCAAAAGATGATGGAGATTGGAAAAAGGTTGATGATGTTGAGGTTGCCGGTTGTTTGGATGCAGTTGCCGGTGAACCAGATCTGTTTGTTTGTTTACCAGTACTTGAAATTTGAGAATTCAGATGATTATTTAACGTTTGTGCTGCAGCAAAATGTGCATTGAAGTTTTCATATGTTGCGGATGCTTTTGTTGTTGCTGGACTTGGAGATGAAGGTACAACACTTTCATGAGGTAAAATTCCAAATGGACTTGGCAGTTGATTATTTCCTTGCCAGCTCAATCCTGTAGTACCGCCTGGAGTTGATGATTGATCAAAGAATGACGTTCCTTGTGCTGCCAATGTTTGATGAGAATAATTTTCTCTTAAGGTTGATAGTTCAGATTCTACTGATGATTGCTTGGAGGCAACCGCAGCCTGAGCTTGAGCTATAACTTGACGATGCTGTGCTTGAAGAGAAGAACTGTAGTGTGCAGGTTTGGGATTTGCATGATGAAAGAGTGGTGAAAACACTGCGTCATACCCTACTGCTGGTGGAGACAAAAAACCAGCAGGATTGAAAGGTGAAGCAGTTGATGAGCCAAGTTGCCCTGCTAATGATGCTGTGGTATGAGCTGCTTGAAGAAGCAACTGACTTGTAGTTGATGGCACAGATTGGCTGCCTAATCCAGAACCACCACTTGCTAGGTGGTGATGAAAATCCCCACTTGCAGCACCAGCCTGAACCCCTGCTAACCGATTGTATGAATATGCTGACCATGGTCCTACTGGATCCATTACCACCTCCGTGTTGCTCAAATGTCAATGTATGTAATATGTCAATAGAAGTCCACACTTTTATCCATAGTTTGTAACACAATCTATATGTATAGTTACTAGCACTATTTTGGAACACTGGAACTCATTTTGTATTTACATACTCTTCTTGTATAGAAAACACTCCTGAAAATAAAAGAACAGGTTGTTAGACCAAAACAACGCAACATAAAAACAAGAGAAAAGATCCTATAAGAAAACATTAACTTCTATTAGACATTTAACTCAATATTGTAACCTAAACTTTAGTTATGATTAGGAATAACTATAATTACAAAATAAAGCATCGACCCTCAGGAACAAAAATAATCCGGCGCTTCACTACACAAGCGTCAGAGTGACGGAACAATACAGAATCCTATTTTATAGTGTCAGCTAATGTAAAGTACATATTTTTATAAAGAAACATACCATCGCCTTAGTTTTCCACAATCATTTATCAATGTGGTTTCGGAGGACGCTCACACGACAGATAACATCATAAATATGGCCTCGACTAGTCGAGTGCTCGTTGCGACGGGTTTTGTCTATTGTGAAATGAAAAGCAATTCGAGCTTCACGTTGTTCACAACAGTTCACTTGCTGTTTGACACTATACAATATTAAGTCTTCTGTTGTCGTTATATTGATAATAATATTTCAACAAACCAATAACTTTATTTACAAGTGGAAATACGACAACGTTTCGCCTTTCACATTAATCGCCGCCATCTTACTTGTCGAATATCTGTCGGTCGAACGAACGAACGACCGCATACAAAACAAGCTGTACAGCGCCATCTGCTTGATGCGTAATGATATGTTCGTTAAACTTTTTGATGAATTTTTACTTAGATCTATTATGTCAATCATCCAATATACACCTTGTACATCATTTATTCCCATAATAAAAATGATGATTTAAAAATATTCCTAAAACCCCTAAATAAAAACAAAATTAAAATTACGTTTTGTTTCATCACTAAAACAGTACAAAGATGTAGTTTTAATGTTGCCATTGTTTACAACGAATGAACGAAAGTATCTAAAAAAAAAACAAAATAAACATAGAATTTGCCAAGTTGTTTAAACTTGATTTGATATGAAATGATGATAACATAATAATCATAACCTATTCATTATTTAACAGTTAATGCAAAATAGTTTTATGGTTTTTTTTCCAAAATTAGTCATTTTGGAACGCCATCTAAAATTTGGATCCTAATATTTTCTATCAAACTCTACAGATAAAGTTCTTAGTAGGTATATAGATATATAGTATATAGCTTTTTTTTAGGAGGGGAAAATCATCGAATGACTGCTCCCGCCTGGGTGAGGCGGGAGGGAATATCAGACTCTTACTAATTAAAAACCACCCCATTCCTTGTCCTGCGCTTCGAGCCGGAGCCCCGGTAACCCGTTAGGTTCTCCGCGACAAGTAGGTACCTATAGCTAATGCCAATATTATCAACAATGTACCTTGTAGATTCGTACATTGTAGGTAGTATTGGTATTAGCGATGTCTGGTAGCTGTTAAATCAAAGAAGTTATTATTTAGGTACATTATATCATTTATTTTACAACAAATATTAGACATCGCCGCGACCGCGTACGCTGCTCATGAGGAACAACCCCTCTGGTGGTGTTGTTTCACATCGGTTTTCTGTGAGGCTATGTTATCACTCCGATTGACGAAGCATAGCTCTCCACACTTACTTATTCCTTTTTGTGTTGGTTAGAGTGAGAGAGAGAGAGAAAAAGAGAGAGAGGGGGGGGGAGAGGGAGAGGGGGGGGGAAGAGAGAGAATGAGCATGCGCGCTATTTTCTAGATATAGACCTAGAATCTCTTATATGTTTGTGAAAGAGGCTGTCATCTTTGAATGATTATGCGAGGCTAACTGTCATTTGATCTAAATAAATTATTTAAATAAATGAATCATTTTATAATTGTATTAATTGCAACTGTGTGGCCAAAGAAAATATTGGTTTTGACAACATTTAATTTCAGGATCAAAACCTAGATGTAGTTGTCGACGGTAAGACTTTGTCATTTTCTGTCAATCTGTCATCTCATTTCAATCTTTTCGTCACCTATGGAATATGCATACTGAATATATATGGATAGTATTGGCTTTTCCATTGCCGTTCCTACTTCAGCTTCAAATTGGAACCCCTGTGGCTCGTTAAGTTGTCCACAGCTCCGCTAGATATCACTAATAAAAAATAGCATAATAAAAATAACATCATTTCTTTTTACTTCGTTGTACCCCCATTATTTAATAAGTTTATAAGCTTAAATTATTTATTTATTTTCAGTCATGATCGTCCCACTGCAGGGCAAAGGCCTCCCTACCCTCCTTCCATTCCTCTCTATGTAAAGCTTTTTGCGGCCAATCCTTGTCATAGATGTATAATTAGAGATTAAATTAAATTAGAGGATAAATAAAACAAAACTTTCGAGTTTCATAACTTTGTTTATTGGACATAACCGTAATTCTTTCAGTAAGAGACAAAATCAGTTTGAATTCTTTGGTAATAGTTTGCTTTTTTAAATCAGTTCAGGAAGACTTGCAGACATAAATCTCATCATTCTAGAGTTGACTACTTAGGTATATAATAATTTATGAGAATGAGATGGCAACCTGTTACAGATTTTTTTTATGTTTTGGTTCTTATCTATATTTACTGATGTCACATTTTTCAGATTTCTTGAATAAACTTATAAAAACATTGAACATTACCAATTGCTTGCATGGTCATAATATGGAACTGCTAAATGCTAGAAAGAAAATGATATATTGTAAATGAATGAGATGCTTCAAAAGCATATTATTTCATGTCATTCATTAATTTTGTAATGCACTGAGCATGAAGTGTTAACTTTTCACACAATAAAATATGTTGATTATTTTCTATGATTTTTTCCAAAATGTTGTGTTTGTAAGATCTTGTTTGACAACAGATTTCTATGCCTAATATACACATACAATAGATACGTGATCGCAAAATACGGTCAGACTTTTACATGCATCTGCAATTGATTTGTTTTGTAAGTGACAATATAAGACTAAAATACGGTAAAGAAAAATAAAAACGAACGTTTTTATCACTACTGAATAGTTGTTTGGCACAAATTTCAGTGCATGAGTTTTAATGAATGTAGACTAAAACATAATATGCATCATTGTACTAATTAGTCGTAACGCGATATGGTAAAAGTTAAGGAGCATTATATTATACTGATAATATGAACATGCAGGACGGCAGGAACTACAAACAACCATCAAAAGAGAGCAAAACTTAACATAATTATTACAATTGAGTCGAAATGTTTATGCTCCATATACAGTGCACAACATCTTTATTAACTAGGTTCAAGATTTAAGAAATATATCTTTTATTCCGGACGAATGATTTACATAATATGTATATATAATATCATTTAATTATTCTTAATAAATTTTGACACTAACATAGAAGAGAGCTTCTGAAAACCAAGCCTGAAATTTAAGCTTGAGGATAAAATAAATGAAGCTGCCTAACGAGGGTGAAGCCGATGTTAGTGATATTACAGTATAGCCAACTAACACTTATTAAAATTGAACATTGATAACGATGATAAAACATACACGCATTATGATAATCATCATTTATCATTTAAGTTTGATAGATCACTCACTATTTATCAGTATATCGTGATTTAGAGACAATTCGCATTACACAGAATGTCTATGCAATTTTTGTTACGAAAAAAGTTTTATAGCTAATTATAAAACAAAAAGAGCATTAAGAAATAAAGGAATAATGGGGTACACACTAATATCTAGATATTTCGAGATCCCTGTCGAATCCACTAGCCGCAAATGTATGATATAATTAATAATTTGATATAATATTATGTAGCTATAACTTACAAATTATTATTGTTTAACCATTTTTAGCTATGTAGATTCGACTTAGATTATTCACACATTACAAAACGGTTTAACTTACATCTAACTTAATCACATACGAAGTATCAATCATAGTTAAAATTATGCGGTGGATAGTTTACTGTGTGCTTTAATATATACCTGAAGAGCGATTGATATAGAAGAATAACCTTTAACACCGTATTACATAGGCCTTAGTACTTTAAAAGTAATCGAAACGAGACCGCATTCCACGCTATCATTGGTTGGTCCAATGGAGCCGGCCAATCAGAGGCCTTAGTACGAGTATCTTTTTCGTTTATAGTAATCGTAACGATTACGCGTTCGGCGCTGTGATTGGCCAGCTCTAATGAACCAACCAATCAGGGCACAGAACGCGGTCTCGTTTCGATTACTTTAAACGAAAAAGAAACTCGTACCAAGGCCTCTGAGTGTCGAACGCGGTCTCGTTTCGATTACTTTAAACGTAAAACAAAATCATACCAAGGCCTCACATGCTTACTTCTTAAATTACGTAAAGGAAGATAGATAAAGCTCACACTGACTCGCATTCAACCCACCTCTGAACATATTCAGCAAAACTAACAATATGCTCATTGCAACATGTTCAGAGTACACATAATGAGTTACTGAAATAAGGTTGTGCAGTATTGCTAAATATGCAGCAAACTCTACATCATTTACAAATATTAAATTGTATATTGTAAGTGCAACTAAAATAAGACAAAATTTTATTAGCAAATTAACATTGCACAATGTAATTCATCAGATTTGCTCGTTCTAAACCGAGCCCTGAGTATTCTATAATAGTTACGTTAGATATAAAAATAAATTTACTACTAATAAGAACTTATACATAAGCACCGTTCTATAAAAAATAAAATCTTTGGATTGATCTGGCAAGTTAACAGAAATAATAATCACATTTAAACTTAACAATAAAACTACAAAATAATCAGACCCTGATTGCTAATATCAAATAAAGATAACAGATTAGTGAGTATTTGTGTTTACATATAAAAATATATTTTGTAGTGGTTAATTGATGGTTCATTGAATGATTCCATTAAAACTGGTTTAACCACGAGTTTTAAAATAATGTACTTAACAATATTAATGAATTTAAATGCCTTGCGTGAGAGAATGTTCAAGTACAATATCGAATTCATCCAATGGCTCGAGTATTTGCCTGAGGAATGTAAGGAGACCGCGTTTGCGCAGGAAACTCTGTTCCTCGTACATCTCGATGGTAACGCGCGTCATTGACATTGGTACGAGCATTCGATGTAGCCAGTGCTCACTGTAATGTAATAAAATTACGTTAGTAAACACAAAGTTTAGAATTACACTTCATCATGTAAATATGTTTTGTAAGTGCATAACTAGAAACTAAAAATTTAACTATGATTTAATTACATAAACCTATACATAAATATAAAATAATTCTTACCGTAAACTGAGGCATATGAAAAGTTGGAATTTCCCGTCTTTGCCGAGAGTGCGGCCGACGGAATTGATCTCGTCCATGAGATGGCAGTAGCATCTCCAGATGGCTCTGTGTTCCTGGTCCTGTCGGCAGTTGTACGCCATGCCACAGCTCTTGTTGTTCTGTGATGTTGGCTCATCACAGAGACTCATTTTGAATTCGTCTTTCACCTTAGCTATAAAGGTTTAGAATGATGAGTTACTATCTTATCAAGTCAACTATGTGAAACTTTGATCATTGACTACATTTTCTTAAAATGATGTTAGGTTCTTTCTTTTGTTTAGAATTTACTTTACTGACATAAAATAATGTTTCAAACTTACCAAAATAATCCCAAATGAAAAGGTTCTTTCCAAAGAGTCTCACAGACTTGAATCCGCAAAGGAACGCTTGTTCCAAGCATTTAACTAGTCCGTTTTCTCCACAAAGCAGAACACTGAGTGAGTTTGCGTCCTTTTCTCTCTTCGACTGATAGTGCCACTTTACTATCGCATTTACACAGTCACCTGCACAATCATAAAAGTTAATTTTGTTTGTTTAACAGTTTACTAAAATATATCTGAAAGTAGTGAGCAGCGCGTTGCGTTATTAGCAAAAAATATTGACGTTTGTATTTTTTACAGAAGCTTTCAATAGCAGTGTTTCCAAAATGCTTGACTTAGTTAGTTGCAAAACGTTATTTATAGGGAGAGGATATTTGAAGCGGTCAATTATCTTTTGTCCTGCGATCACCCGTAGCATAACCGTGTAGTGCAGGGGCGCGCTGCCCGGTTATAACAAGGCGTTACCGCGGCGACGCTAAGGAACACGCGGCGCATGTAATGGCAGCAAGTACCGATCATGTGCTGGATGGTGGACGTGGACAGGTGCGTGGTGGTGGGCGTGGCGGCGGGCGCGGGCGGCGGGCCGGCGCGCGGCGTGGCCCCGCCGCGCACGCGCGCCGCCACCAGCAGGCGCTCCGTCGACCCGTCGTCCACGCCCGTGCCCAGCCACCGGTTGCACGGGAACCTGCACGTACATACCAATTAACTATGCTCGTCTAAATATTCACTAACACACAAAAGTTAAAGTTAAAATAGCGAAGTATTAAAAGTTAACAAGCGAAGTATAAAAAGTTAAAATAGCGAAGTATCAAAAGTTCAAAACGCACGTGTAAGTATGACCAGTAACTTCATTCCTCACGTAGACCTGATCAAGTAGCCATCGCGGAGAAAGGCCGGAGTTGTCATGTCCAATGCGCAACGTTGATAAAATTCCCAGGTTTTTATGCTAAAACAATAATGTCTCACTAGTCTAGAGCTCACAAGATGTTTTACATGGGTAATGTAGTTAACAATAACTCACATGGAAAACAAATTCGTTAGTGTTACGTGGTATAGGTATTTTAGGCGTAGATTCGCCATTGGCTCCTGATATTGAGATCCAACAGTTAGCGGTAGTCTGGCTAGCTTTACGAGATGGCACGATGAGGACTCGATACGGAAGTTCTGCAAACAAAATGTAGCATAGGTAAGTCTCTTTCCTTTCAACCCGTGAAAGTAAATATCTAGAGGTAACTGCGAAATGTAATAAGACAAGATGATTTATAAGGTATTTTAACGTTAAAAATCCAATTTACTTGTGGTAGGATAAGTATTGGTGAAGCAGAAATAATCCACTGCATTTAAAGTGAGGAGATGATAAAGGAACTGTTCCCTTTCTTCCTCCGAGCGAAGAAAAGCCGTCCGTTTGTACTGAGACCGCAGTAGCGTAGTGTCAGCTAACAGTTCTCGAAGATGTTTGGATAGCAATTTCTTCTCTAAGGAAAGCCGCACCCAAGCGCGAGCGTACCCTATTTCTGTTTTGATGTCTGTCATCGCTTGCACATTTCTGTAACAAGAAAACATATCTATGGTACTAGAAAATCGACCAACAAACAGAGGTTGTATTTTCAAAGTTTTTTTTTTTTAAGTCAAGCCTTTATTTGATGGTCACACAAATAAAAAGGCATAGTATTGCATATTTTTGGTGTACTTCGAATAACTGATTGACTTCTCTCTGTACAGTGGGTAGAATGACTACAGTACTCTTAAAGACAGTAAGAAAAAATATGCCCATAAAACAAATGACGACTTACCTCATATCAAACGTCAAACTTTCTGGCAACGGACGTAAAGGGTTGGGAGGTTGAGATGACTTTCTTTCCAAAGTCCCGGAGTTACTGAGACGATCCCGGGAACTATCGCGTGATCCTCCTCGCGAACTATCTCGGGACCGACTCCCGGAACTTGTACTTTGATGGGCTTCTACTTCAGCACCCACAGACGACAGATCTATATTGAGATTAATTTAATTAGTTTTGCTCAGTATATAAAGCTGGTGTTTAAGGTAAAAAAGAATTACTTACAATCCAGTCTTTTGCGCAACACACACCAAGCCAAAGCTGCATGTTCCAAAGCACAATAGTAATAATTGGTTACTTAAAAACATTAATAGACATATTCCACATAGTGATACATTCTATAGGTAAATAGCAGAAGTGAGTTTTGTGTTTGTGGAGACTACAAAGTATTTTGATAACAAGGATTATACCTTAATTGTAGAAATAATAATCGTTAATTTAAATGTTACTTTGGGAGAATGGTATGTTATTAGAAGTTAGTTATTGTATGGAAAATATAGTATGCATATGAAAATGATTTAAGTGCAGAAGTTAGTAATAAACTAGATATGTACAATTATACACTGTATTATATTGAAGAATATGACGCAAATAGATAAACTGTTCTTACCGGGAGTAAGGTAGTTAGGATCGATGGGCTTGGTGGAATTACTGCACTGCTCTAACTCTTGGTAATTAGTAAGATGCATCCAAAGCGCTGACTTGCCCATCTTGTGTTGCAAGCCATGCGACCACAACCGTTCCAAAAGGTCGCATAGTGAAGCTATCATAGTACTTTCTTCGACCCCAGTTATAGATACCTCACAGCCCAAACCTAGATCAGATTCTTCAGTACCCATCTTTTCTACAAGCATCCTCTTCGTTTTACTTTTGCATTCCTATTGAAGAGAGAGTAGAATAATGAATATAGGAAGTTTGCATTTTTTATTTATTTAAGAAAATTTAATTGAATTTTTAAGAATATTTTTAACATACCAATATACTAGTCTAAATGTGTAAATTCTATTCATAAAAATGATAACAGACGGTAGTAGTACAATTTTATAACACATTTCCCGAATCAGGTACAGGACCCAGAAACTTTGTATGGCAGTCACTATTAAAACCACTCAACAAACATAGCAATGAGAAGAAATAATATTTAAAAGCTGCATCTATACCTTCAGAAGCTTCTCTACAAAGGCTCTGTTGTTCTGAGCAATAGCTGCTGGCGTCACTTCTGTAGATAGCCTTCTACTGATGTCCCCTAGCAACAACTCCGGCGGACAATCCTTCACTTGCCATTTCGCATTCTTTATACGTTTCAAACTGTTGGTCCTGAAAAGTAAAACATGTATCTAAATATCTAGAATAAAGTCCTAATTAGTATTGCATATTATGAAAGCTAGCATAGCAAAAAGCAGTTGAAATGTGTATCGAAAATGCTAAATATTAGTAGGCGTGCGGGTTGCAAACGATGTACGGAGTTTCATTTCATTACATGCAAGATGCACGAGTTTGGTTTTATCAGCAGCTAAACAGAGTCAAATAAATTATTCACCTATTTAAAGGCAAATGTGGAAAGAGAGGCATAGAAAGCATTCAAGTTAAGACTACACAAAACTCGCGCACACTATTACCACTTTTTCATTACATGCCATTCAACTACAAAAAGGATCAGGATTGCAAACATTTAAAAATACTCAGTATTACACATAAATAACTTTATTTTATATCTTATTCTTATTTACATAGAGTCTACATTTAAACAAACAATATATTGCATTATGGAGTTACCTTATTATGAGAAGATCTGTCAATATTATTAACAATGATTAAACTTTATATTTGCGTAAATAAAAATTAATTATGCCATAACAACGAAACAAAATATAAATGAATAAATAGAATTGGACAAAACATGGTTTGAGTATCACAATATAAACATATAAAATCACATAAAATTATTACATGAACGTATTTCATACTGCATGCAATACGAGTATAAACAAAATCATGCACTTTCAGTACTAAACACATTGACTATCACAACATTCAGAAATAATATTATGAAGTCAGATTTTTAAAGGCTTCGACAATCTATATTATATTGTACTGTAGCTTGTAACTTTAAAACAGTATCCTACAATACAATTGAAATATCCAAGCCTTTAAATACCTAACATTATTATGAAATGTTCAATAATTCGGATTCTTTACAGACACGACAAAAACAATAATAATAATATTTAAAAATTAATAAGTACGATTTATTATGTATATTAATATGTATTTATTATTACTAAGCTATTAATGCGAAGCGAGATTCTAGTAAACAATAGTCTATATATTAGTCGGTAATGAAATAAGGTAAGTCACGAGAGCAAAGTTTTCAATGCAAATGGCAAGGTCGATTACCAATCATAAATTACATGAGCTATATTCTTACGTAATATTGTACACTGCGATGTGATAAAATCATACTTAATTAATCAATATTGAGATTGTAGTGAACAGCTAGAAACTCGCTTCACATAAAACATATTTATTTACTTGAAACTTGGAAGTATTTTTATAGCAAGAGCTTTACAAGAAGTATTTAGTATCAGCTGATATTAATTTCTTGAAATGTTTTCAAAGTCTTTTCTCTTTGATGAATCTCATAGTGGAAATAATATTATGAAAAACGCTAATTTAACTTGATTTAAATAAAACGGACCTCACATTGTAGGCAAGGTCTAATAAAATATTTTGAGTAACTGGGTTAAGTAAAAAACCCTGCTATCTTTATATGCAGGGTTAAAATAAAGTTATTTTTAAACTAAACTATTTATATTTGAGATGAAAAGTATATTTTTATTACTTGTATTTTTACTGGGTAAAATATTTTAAAACAATGGCCATCACCGACAACATTAAAAGCACTGTGAACTCTTGTATGAGCATTTGTAATCACAGGTTTTCAAAAATGTTCTGTCTTCAGGAAATATAACAAATTGAGATTCGTTCACTTACCAAATTATATTTGGAGTACTTTTTTTGCAATAATATAGAAGCTATTATTATTATATTAAAGCAATATAATAATTACATTAGACGCACTACACGGTAGTGTTAATAGTCTGCTGAACAATAACATACATTTTACAAGGCTTGTACAGTCGCATGCTGCCATATGAAGCAAGTTTATTTGTCAATGACGCAAACTGTCACATATTGAAACATTTGAAAATAAAACATGATCAAAATAGTCCGTTTATACACCGAGTTAACATATTTTTGCAACAATAGTTCCGAGTAGAAATGAAGTCAGAGAACTTTTAATTATTATTATTAGACAATTCTGTTTTTGGAATACATTTTTATAACGAGCTACTTTAATAATTCTGTTTGCTTTAAAATTAAACTGTTACCTCGGTGCAAGACGTGTACGGGGCAACATGCAAGCCTCAACAGCAATCCAGCCTGGATTGCTGTTGAGGTTGAATCCAACCTGGACTATCCAGATTGTAAATATATGGCGCACGTACGACAATCTACGATATCATATCACGAAAGCTGCACTCGTTAGTCGAAGGAAGCGAGGTCGGGGAGTGGAGGCATGGCGCATGGAGCCAGTAGCGGAGTCACGTGTCACGGGCGCACCTGGTGTCGGGCGCGGGCGGGCGCGTGAGTGCGTGCGCGTCCAGGCGCGCGGGGAAGGCGCGGTAGTACGCGGCGCGGTGCGGCAGGCGCTCGGCCGGCGCGCCCACCTCCAGCTCGGCGGCCGCGCCCGCGCCTCCCGCGCCGCCCGCCCACACGCAGTACCCGCGCGTGCCCAGCCCGCCCTCGCCAATGCGCCGTCTGCAACACACGCTCGCCGTACTACACACTGTCGCCTGCCAGCTCGCTCTCAACTCATCTCTTATACACCAGTTACTCACATTAAACAGTCGATCTGGTCCTTACTCAAGACGTTAACATGCATAATTCGACACAATTATGAACCCTATTAATATATTATAAAGTTACGCCTTTATCTCATAAGGCGGGACAGAAACTAGAACCACACACTATGATCCTTGCATACATCATTAGTTCTCATCATATTCATGCACCGAGACATACAATCAAATGAAATAAACCCCTTTTAAATGCATCTGCAATGTTATGGTGGTTAGAGACTAATGTTGTTAATTGCTTCAAACAATCTCCTTCATGATGTTAGTATGCAGTGGCATGTGCCCAATTGGTGCACTTAATTGTAATTAATTACCCACCATTCAATGTTCCAGATCCCATGCCAAATCCAGTCTACATGCTGCATTTTGAATACTCATTGTTGGTAGAACCATAGTAACAGAACTTACAAAATATTGTTTGTTACTGTGATTCTTTCAATACTGAATGATCATACCTGACAGTCTTGATCCGGTGTTCGAAGACTTGTAGGTTGGCATCATATTCTCCCCAGTTGCCCATAATCTTGTTATCGATCAGCGTAGCGAACATTTGTGTCTCGAGGAACCGCGAGAGGAATGGCCTATGACGCTGCGGTTGGTCCGAGAGGAACGATGCTTTATCAAAGTTGACCATTGATTCACGGGATGACAGCCAAGATTCACGATCCTAAATAAAACAGTGTTTCGATTGAGTTTCGAAAAGCTTTGGAGCTCGAGAACCAATAACATCTTCATCTTTAGACTCTGAACTAGAACCTGAGATACCAAATAGTCAATTGTAAAAAATTACTCACCTGATCAGGCATAATAACAAAATTCTCGTACATGAGAAATATGTGCACAAATCTATTAAGGAATGTTTCTCTGATAGCAACATTGAACCTTATGTCTTCATTATATTGTTCCTCATCATTAAGAATTTTCTTCTTTGTCGTTGGCATTACTGTATCCGCATCCACGTCATCGATGTTAACACCTGCAGATAAAAAAAATGTGAACAAGTTGCAATACAAGGATGTTACCTAATCAAAATTCATTTAATACAGAACATAGGATGTCTACAATTTCTATATGTAATTACATGCGCATGTATGTACAAGGTTTTTTCAATTAAGATTAACTGCAGCAAATTGGTCATAATAATTGATGATATCAGTAAAATATTGAACTAAACAAGATGATGTATGCTCCAGTCTGGAATGTATAGTTAGATGCAATTAGTAGAATGTCTTTAATGAAATGTACCATTTCATAATTGAACTATTCAATCTTAAATTTTTCCTAAATATTAGTTAAGCGTGTCTTACCACTGCGTTTGACAATGTCTACAATTCGTTGCAGAGCATCCATTCGGAGTGGCGCACGACGCGTTGGCGAAGCAGGAGGCGATGCATTGAGCGGCCTGCTTTCTTCCCATTCTAGTACATCGTGGAATGAGTGTTTCCGACGTAGACCACCTGATAAAAACCATTAAATATTTGCTTGAGAATGTAATGTATATATTAGCGGACCCGACAGACGTTGTCCTGCATATAATATAATAATAGGTATAGATAAATAACCTATATCCGACTGCAGCGCCATCGACCGGGCTGATTTGTGAATCTAAACCATCCAGGGCGCCACTCAAACGCATACAGAAAAATTCATTTAAATCCGTCAAGCCGTTTAGGAGAAGTTCAATGACATACACACGTACAGCAGAATTATAAATATAAAGATAAAAATGAATTGCTGTTCGTTAGTCTCACTAAAACTCGAGAACGGCTGAACTGATTTGGCTAATTTTGGTCTTGAAATGTTCGTGAAAGTTCAGGGAAGTTTGCCGAGTCAGCTAGTAATAAATAAATATAGACCTCTTATATGATTAATATAGACCTCAAATTGATTTTTAACATGTATGGTTAAATTTGGTATTTGGACCTGCAATTGGCTCTGAAACCAGCAATATATCATTAGAATACAAGGTCGTATAAGGTCATGCACATCCACTATTAGATGTTCTAGTCTAGACCTTATAATGATGATTATGCGACTTTGCAAGTAATAAATAAACGGCTAAGATAGAATAACGATGTAGGTATGTACATAAATATTCGCTGCACGCTAATGAATGCTTTAAACATTGGGAATGGCTAAATAAAACATGTAGGCAACCTAAGTAGAAAACCAGATCACCGAGCGTGTCGAAGTTTTTCCTTACCTCTCGACTATTTAGATTTAATAATGATCTTTTAGTAAAAAAAACGAAACACATAAATTGTCGTCAAATATATCAATAATATCGGATTATGATATGATAAACGTGAGATAATGACTAAGCCACGCATTGTGTTGCCATGTGCACGCTACATCGCCGCTTGAGAATAATCTTGTTAGAACAAGTGTACTACCAATGCATACATTCTACCTACCTACGCACGGCGTAGTTAGCGTGACTTACGTTTTAAAAACTTATCGATCGATAAAATGGTGTATTCTGTATTCAAACCGGTTTCTGAACAAATATTACATTTGTATGAAGATACTGGAACAGCTTAATTTATTCATAAAATTAACCATATAGGTAACAGACGCCTACTACTATCTTTTTGTAGGCCAATGAGTTTTTTCAACTAATAAAGTAGTATAAATATCTTACCTGATGGCAAAGTACAACTGCTGCTCATACTGTCGCCCATATGTTTGTATGAAGTTCCATTTATAGGCACACCAAGCTTCGTAGGTTCAGTTTCAGGTCTTTGAATCTGTAAAAAAGCAATTTATCAAATACATGATTAAGCACTTAATATTATCTTAATCTGAATTAAATTATCAGATGCACTATATTAAATAATCCATTTTAACAAGATTTGATAATTTGTTATCTGTATAAATGAATTAGTAATTATTTTGCAGGTGCTTGGAAAGGGAGATGAATGAAGTTAATTACATTTTTGAAATATTTGTTACATAATGTGTTTACCTGATGTTTATCTAAAACATGATTGAGTTCTTCAATAAAGGGTGTCCTATGCGGGAATATAGGCAATTCTTCCGGTAATTGTATGTCAGGTTTATCAATATCAACTAAACAAAGAGCTGCCTCAGAGCCGAGCGCGATACTTCGGGGACCATTTGGTCCCATATTCATTGCCCCACTTTCCGCATGGAGACCTGTTTGTTAGAAGTTAGACACATGAAATAATGAACACACAATATTATACATATTATGCAAATGAACAAGTGAATTTGAACTATTCTCTACGCCTAGATGAACATACATAAAAACAACACAGAAACATTATTTACTAAGTAACATTTTATTCATCACATTACACAATCTTATAAAGTGCTCATTAACTCTTAGCAAAGTAGATAAGTAGCGGTGAATTAGCCGTGTGGCCTATTGACCTCTAATAAAGTGCATTGTACTATACCCATGACGAATGGCACCGGCGCGTCGAGGAAGTGGTAGAGTGGGGCCGGCAGTATTGGCACATACACGTGCGCCCATGTAAACGGCAAAAGCAGGGATACTATGCATTCAGCTACCAACATTAGTTTATTGTAATCTAAAAACAAATGTTGTTATTATTATTAGTCAAATTATTATACACAGTTGTTAAAAAAACATACTGTTATAGTACTTACCACTTGATCTGAGTAAAACTTGGTGTTCCAATAGAACACAAGTAAAAAGTTGTACAACACATTCCACTCCTAATGTAGAAAACATAACTCGTAGTGGATAATCCAAAAGAGGTAACTCTTCAGGGAGATTTGGCATTCTTATCACCTGAAATAGATAGAGTAATTTAACATAACAATATAAAAGCTTTGGATTTTATGATTTCTTATTTGAAAATAAAGACTTAAGAATTAAGTCTTTAGACCTATTTTACAAGCAAGGCTATAATTGACTTCTTATAAGCTAATATATGTATATAAGAATTATAATGTACACTTACAACAGGAATTGGATCCAAATGAGGTTCAGAGGGAGGCACATATAGTCGTAAAGCTTGACCAGGAAGTGGCACAGGTACTTCATATAATAAATTATAAACATAAGACTCAGGACTGAGGCCTGGGCCGGGCTGCCTTGGGAGAGATCTACAAAAGAAAATTAGGTAGTAATTACATATTTATTTATAAGCTACTGTTTTGTGAAAAGCTACCATAACTACTAAGTAGTAAATATTCTAGACTAAAAATTAATTGAGAAGCTTTTTGTACTATAAATTAATTGGTTTCTGTCCCAGAATCCTTACAGTTCAAGTACAGAAATTGAATAATAAGATTTAATTATAAGAAAATGATATTAGTGAACTTAAGAAATTTTCAAAAATTGTGTATTTTTCATAAAAAATGGATAGGAAACAAATAAATGAACAATATAAGATTTTTACAAAAGATGCAATAAGATAAAATTATCAACATAATGAAGTCATTTGAATTAAAGTTTTGGGTATAAAATTGAGTGGGTACAATTTATTTAATGAGATAACTTGTTTACGTATTTGTGAGACACTCACCTGAATAAATTTTCTAAAAACAACTGTGCTACTCTCACATATGGATATTGACATATAAGTGCTATACTTTTGGCGACATATAATTTGTCTTTGGCAATATCATAATATGTCAGTGCGGCACCACTATGAGGAGTGAGTTTGAAAGATCTTGGAAGTGACCGGGAGCTTTCCTTGCCCGAAGCTTTTCTGTGGCCAGGAGGAGTCTGACCACTAGATAATTCTGTGATATACATTGCCTAAAAAATTTACAGAGATTATTTATTTATTCAATTATTTAAATCTAAAATTATTATTGTTACTATGATTAAATACATATTTACCTGTAATGTATGCATGGCACTGCAGATGTTTCTGTTCCTAACTTCTTCATAAAAAATAAGACTGAATCCATAGTATCGAGATGCATTCTCTCTGGTTACTACAAAGCTGTGAAACTTGGGCTCTAAAGAATGTTTTTGTGTTCTAAATTGAAGGCCAGCTGGTAGACAAAGCTGCAAGTATACACATTCACCAGTTTAACTTCACAATTTTATTAATAGGTAAATTAAAAGAATAAATGAAACTGTAATGGTACATGGATATTTATTATGAATTTGAAATAATGTCTCATTGATTAATTTGATATTGCATTGAGAAGAACAAAGACGTCATGAGCAATATACTTCAATATATTATTAAGCACTCACCATACAAACTGCATGTTCATCAAATGGATTACTTGTTATGTTATCAGGGTAGTGGGCTAGGATTTTGCCTTTATAAGAACGATCCAAAGGAGATACATGTAAATTATCACCTAAAATGAAGGCATAATTTTATTGTCGTTTCTTTTATATCAACAAAAAGCGAATTTAACAGATTTTTATTTAATGCTTACCGCAAAGTCTATCAGGCTCCAATCCAGAGTCAAAGTCGAGGCCGCAAATCGCAAAATAATCGGCAAAACGACATCCAACAGATAAATCAGAGACAGACATATTTCTATCGACCCGTTATTTACTATTAGAGACACTTTCTCTTACAGACTGCGCGAAGTTTTTGTTTCAGCATTGTACACTAGCACTGGACTCTCATTAACAATCGATCAATATTGTTAGCTCACATGTTTTTATTTGACATATAATTTTCAGTGATAATGAAACAAATCAATTTGTAAACGAAAAAAATATTCTATTCACGCCATCACATCACTCAACAACACATTCAATTCATCAGACAGCTGCCAAATTGCGTAAACCCTCCCCCGCAACCTCGGTCTTCGTCCCTACTATACAGATGCTAAAATATTTTTTTGTCATTGTCTATGCTACATAATTAAAGCGTAAAACAATATAATTTGAAAGTAAGGTAAGAAGTTGATTAAAGGACAGATGTAATTATTTTGTAAACTATTACAACTATTTTTTTTCAATCATACAATAAATCTTGAAAGACCTGGTACTGAAATTGGAAGAAAATGTAGGTCGATCGATGATTCAACGATTATCTGTCAGATACGAAATTGAATGAATGGAATTGTTTCTTTGTTTGTCAAAAGCGGTGGTGTGAGCGGGGCGTGTGTTTGTAGTGTTTAAAATAAAACGTTATTTATTGTGTAGTTTTTTATAATATCATAATATATGTATTTAGTATCCTCAGTTTCCTTGCCAAATTAATACAATTAAACAATTGTTTATATTGGCGGTATTGGATTTTTCACTGTAATTCACAAGATTCAAGGTAAGTTACAATTTTTAAATCAACAGAATTAGTTATTTTAGCAAACTTATCGCTCAATAATACGGCAAGAGGCTTCTTAGAATAAAACTGTTTGTTGTTACGGGGATGCGATAAGTCATAACCACGACTGTATTATTTCGATTTCGACTTGCCCTAACCACTAAAGGAAAGAAATTAGGTTTGTATTTTTCCTTTTCTGGGTGTGTTTTACTCGCGAAAGATTATGTCCCTGTTATTGACCAATAGTAAATTGAGTGGTCAAGTTTTATTTGTAAGTTGTCTTAACAATTCGTAAAGCTCAAATTATTATATTTTGTAATATTAAATGCTAGTTTTTTATAATATTGAATATTGATTAATATAAATAAAATTTGTCATAAAGAACCATTTGATATCAATATAAATGTATGTATGTTTCATAACAACAAAACAATGTGTATACTAAGGACACATGACCTCAATCCAATGTCAAATATAGTAGCTTCTCTGCCCCTGTATTGTAAGTAGCCAAACAAGAAATTTTTAACATAGTAAATTTTGTTTCAGAATGTTAAGAGGAAGAGTAAAACATTTACTACACTGCACATTTTTCATATTATTTATATTCAATTTTCTTGTATTTGCTGGAGCTATACGTTTAGATGACAAAGAGAAGGAAAGTTTTGATCCTCTGGAGAGATATGGGGTGCATGGAGCAATCATTTTATACCTATTGAGACTTTTTACCCTCTTAACAATACCTCAAGTCCTGTGCAATTTTGCAGGATTGACATTATTCAATGCTTTTCCTGGAAATGTCAAACTTAAAGGTTCTCCATTGCTTGCACCTTTCATCTGTATCAGGATTGTGACTCGAGGAGACTTTCCAAAATTAGTAAGAGATAATGTAACTAGAAATATGAACACATGCATTGATGTGGGGATGGAAAATTTCATGATTGAAGTTGTGACTGACAAAGCAATTAATTTACCAAAGCACAGAAGAGTTAGAGAAGTGGTTGTGCCAGCCGAATATAAGACTAAATCAGGTGCTTTATTTAAATCAAGAGCATTGCAGTATTGTTTGGAAGACAATGTTAATATACTCGCTGAAAATGATTGGATTGTGCATTTAGATGAAGAAACACTGTTGACTGATAATTGTGTGAGGGGTATACTTAACTTTGTGCTGGATGGCCAACATCAGTTTGGTCAAGGACTGATCACATATGCTAATGAACACATTGTAAACTGGCTGACTACACTAGCTGATAGTTTCCGCGTTGCTGATGATATGGGAAAGCTAAGGCTACAATTCTACTTGTTCCACAAGCCACTCTTCAGTTGGAAAGGTTCATATGTTGTAACACAAGTGAGTAGTACCACATGATACTATTAATAGACATGAATTCCTTTTATGAATCTCATGTAAAAGAGGCTGTACTCATTGTTAATTTCCCCAACATTCTGTATTCATATATGGTATTTATTTATTTACAGGTAAGTGCTGAAAAGAAGGTGTCTTTTGACAATGGACTTGATGGATCAGTAGCAGAAGACTGTTATTTTGCTATGAAAGCCTATAAAGAAGGCTATACTTTTAACTTTATTGAAGGAGAAATGTGGGAAAAGTCACCATTTTCACTGTGGGATTTCATGCAACAAAGAAAGAGATGGATTCAAGGAATACTTTTAGTAGTACATTCTAAAGAAATTCCTCTGTTACATAAAATCTTTCTGGCAGTATCCTGTTACTCTTGGGTGACCTTGCCTCTATCAACCAGCAATGTTTTCTTAGCAGCTGTGTGTCCTATACCTTGTCCACAGGTTTTGGACATAATATGCGGGTTTATAGGTGCTGTGAATATTTATATGTATATCTTTGGTGTGCTTAAATCATTCCCATTACATAGATTTGGTCCAGTAAGGTTCTTTTTGCTTATTGGTGGTGCATTGGCTACCATACCATTCAATATTATTATTGAAAATGTTGCTGTGATTTGGGGAGTGTTAGGTAAAAAGCACAAATTTTATATAGTTAACAAGGAAATTAAGATACCAGTGACTGTATGATTTCTCATGAATAATTTCATATCTTTTGAAGGGTTTACTGATTTTACAATAGTAAGTGCACAGTACACTAAAGGACTAATTTTGCACTTACTCTGAAGTATGAATCATTCAAACACACTGAAACATTTCATGATTGTTTTCACAAAGATAAGATAACATGGTATCTACCAACATGTTAGTTAGTGTGTATGTTTGTTACCAAAGTATCTAAATTTAATATTTTTCTGTTTGTAAATTGAAATTTCACTAAATACTAAGCACAATATTGATATTTAAATGTAAACTAATAATAATAATAGCTTTGCTTTTATACCTTTCTACAGATAATTTATTTTTGGATACCTTGTTCTTTCATAATAAACAGTTATATTTCTTTTTACTCAAATATTGTAAAGGTTTACAGTAAGCCACATTGTTATTTAGTGTCATTTTAGTTAGTATTTCAACAATATCAAATGCAGAATTTGTTGTGTTGCTGTACTTATAAATCACTATGGTTTTGATTAAAAAATATTGATTTGCATTATCTTGCAAGTACATACAATTTAATGAGATGTTTGTATAAATTGTATGTTATATCACTGCTTCGGATTGTTGGCGACACTTGCTTATAGTTTTATAATTATATTCTCGATAGAGTTTTAAGACTCAGATAATAATTTATTGATTGTTTGTAGGTAATGTTTTATGTGTCAATTGGTTGAAACAATCGGTTTTTACTCATGCTGTTCTAGTTTTATCATCAACATTATCTATTATGTAATAGATGTACATTATACATTTATAAATTTGAGCTCAACAAGTAGAAAGTGTGCAGGTATGAAGATGCACACCATGTTGTACATTATTTTTGGCACCTGACTAAATGTATCAAGCTAAAAGAACATATTGTTGAAGTTAGTTTTCCCAGTTGAAAACTTATTCGAAAAAGTCATGATTAATGATAGATCGCAACAATTTCCACTAGGTGTACTTAACCAACATTGAAGTAGTTAAATAGATATAATTTATTTGTGTTAGAGCAAGTAATAATGGGGAACTGATGTATCAACAGCTTTTTGTTTTCTATAATACTGTTATTTTTTAATTCGATGATGTGTGTGATTTAATATTTGTGAGATGCATGTTTTTGTTCTAAATTGTTAATAGTTATGTAATGATTGGATGTCTTGTATGAGAAGCACATAGGGTTCAAGTTGATTGAAAAAGTACAATGTCTTAAAGTAAAATATATAGTAATATGTGGACACAAACATAGGTTATAAAACTTATTATTATTACGGTAGTTAAATTCTGTTAAGTGTTGTTGAATGAGTTCAATTTTTTTACTTGAAGTAAGATGCACACAGTATTCTGTCCAATAAATTTTAAGTTTATCAGTAAATCAGATAACATGTTATTGCTTTAAAACTCTGCATCTGACTAGTCATGTAAATATTTATGAATAAATAGCTAGTTGTAATGTGTAGTAGTGTAGACGAATAAGTAATTACCAGTGTTAATTGGGGTCTCTATCTACTTAGTTCTTATAGATAAAAGTCAGGGGTCAACTCTGTTTAACCCATTGTGATGGTCTTAGTATTCAATTACGCAATTACCTTCGTTAATAATATTAGTTCATGACAAAAGACACGTGCCCATTATTGTCGTGATAATAATTGAGTCTCTTATTATTTTATCTACGTATGAAACAGCAGTATCGCATCATTGTTGTATGTTGCTGTTTCAAAGTACCTTCGACGTTTTTGTAAATTAGTCACAAGTGTGTACCATTGTAGTTTTGATATTTTTGTATTTTGTTCTATTTGATTGAATAATGTTTTATAGTCATTGATTGACGAAGGATGTATGTTAACGAACTTAAAATCAAAATTTGATAATATAATGTACCTAAAACTCACTTTGTACATACAAAACACTTAGTTACGTAAAATAAATTTGAGCATGCAATGTTTTGTTTAATTCATACTACACCTATTACTTTTCAGTGGTTGATATTATCTAAAATATGTGGCGATCTACTATCAAATGAATCTATTATCAAATGAATGGCCAACAATTCAAGGCCATCGATTAATTGTATTGTTGCCATGATGAAGTGGTAAACTTGCTTGTAATGAGTGAATTTATTTGTACTGACGTCTTTGAGACACGGATAACATTAATGTAAATAAAACAATGATGGGATTTCCTTGATTTGTTTTGCCTCCACAAGTTATAAGTAACTAAAGTCTAAATCAAGATAATAGCCTGCTGTTATAGACCTTGACCGGCACAAAAACCGCGCATCATTACGTCCTCATGTTTTTTGTGTTAGCCAGTCAGTCAGTTTGCAATTAGTTTCAATTGTAGCACCAAACTAACTCCTACGAACATTAAACAGGATAAACTATTTCTCTTATTGTTATAACGTCACGCTAGATGCGTCGCGCCGTTTTGACACAATAGTCTAGTCCAGCTTGCTTTTTATACATCAACGCTAACAAATGCATCCGTACTATCAATTTGCAAAATGGGTCTAGAAATGTTTTACACGACGTGTAGGTAGGTATGTATAATTTTGTGGTAGATAGGATTTTTTTAACTGATAAGTATTGGATGCCGTTTTAGTTCGTGCCCTCAGTTTAGGCCCGTACTTAACTAGTTGCCTTGCAGTGGAGTATACTCAAACAATATTGTTTTAAATAAAAAGTAGGTGCAAGTGTACTCTAGATTCACACCATGTAAGTACCCATAGGTTACGCCTGAACTTGAAACACGAGGCGTCCTAAAAATGTCACGTGAACGCACCTAATAAGGACACTAAATGCGATAATGATATCCGTCCACACGTTTATATTGCACGTAGGTAAAAAGGTATGTTATCGTAATTCCATAGATAGTTAACAGGCTAGCGATCTTATCTAGTCGCCGAAGTAATGCTACAATTAAAATGTTGCATTTATATCTGTATTAATATCTACAGTAATTCAGTTTTAACTCTGATAGCACTGGATGTCTTCTATTTATAATCAACATTGATGTTGATTGGAAAAAATTCCGACAGCTTTTATTAATCAATAAGATATGACATGGAATAGGTACCCATAAAGATAGTTAGCCAGTTAATAATTTATTAGCAGGCGGGAATTTAACCGGAGACCCCATCCTGCTTAGCACCACTAGACAAACGAGACAATCTCTTACAGAAGAATGGCTTTCCCGTTTGAAAAGTATTTTTAAATAATGCATATTTACCTGTTATTACGTAACAAAAACATTTACATACCTACGTCAAGAAAGCAATAACTAGAATGAAGTTCTCTTCCAGGTATTACGATTAGGTATAGGAAAAATACAATGAAGTATCTACCAACGTAATACCTTATCGTCGGCTGAGTCAACTTCCTACACGTTGACAATCTGTTACTAAGTACCTACCTATCGTTTTGTTTTTCAATAGAAATTTTTTAAGACACTCTGTCTGTGAAAATGAATCATAGGTGCAGACGGATGAGTTACAGGATAATGTATGGAGCTATATACTTGTATGATAAGATAAATAGAGGTACAGGTATCTGTCTATCTAATCATTTCTGAAGAGATCATACCTACACGTTAGATACCTAATAGGTCACCGACAAGCAAATCTGTCGGTTGAATTATTACAAAAGAAATAATTTTGGCAACCGAATGACTGATATGTATTTCAGAAAGCATTTTAACTAAATTCTCTAGATGTTTAGTTTAAAAATACACTCAAACACAATTAAATAGGTTGGTGTTTCTATTAAAATAAGTATAACTCCTTATGTAGAATTAAAGAGGGTAGTAGTAAGTAACGCCATCTTATTTTTAGACCGAATCCATCCAGTCGCCGTCGTTGTGTTAATACAACACAACGACGGCGACTCTATTGTCAATGGTCATACTCCGAGAATTTATCATTAAATGTTTATTTGCAGCACTTGTCCCTAATAATATTTGTTTCGTATTAAATAAGAAGCGAAACTGACTAAATTATAAATGACGGAAATAATTTCTACTACCTACTTACCGTTCTGAGAATTTTGAAATTGACAAATCAAATGTTATTATAATCGAGGTTCGCGCTGGAACTTAGGTATCAGTTGCAACAATAAGAATTTCAGTTATCGAGACAGTGCCAATCAATGAAGGTTTGAATGTACCAGTACATGTGTACCTAAGTACCTAATGATAAAATATAGACAAGTTTTAGGTAGTGGTTAAGTACCAAAGAACTTACTTGCTGAATGACTGTGCAATGAAATATGTAGGTAATCGAGCATATCTACATTCATATCATTGTTTCATTCTTCAGTACGTATAACTAAGTACCCATTTATTATCTGCCAAGTAGGTATTTCAGAACGCACGTATGTACTTTTTAGACATCAAAAGTATTTTGATAGAAGATTATGGAAAGATTAACATCAAGAAAATGTTGACTAATATCCTATAGATAGGCAGCGTCACGTGGTTTGTGTTGTTTCTAAGTATTGTGTATTAGAACAAATAGTACCTATTATTATTTGAACAAATTTCCGTGCGTTTAGGCGCTGAATCCATTGGAAGCCATTACACATGTAACAGCTCCTACATAGGTCCGACTTAATTTTTAGTCAAACTTCCGTGGTCATGGCGACTGCGCTTCTCCCAGTTGCATGTAGGTACAGTCCCTCACCGAAGGAAGTGAAAACTATAGTTTCTTTTTTCTCCTCAAATAATATCTTCTAATTAATTTCGTTATGGGAACCAAGACAATTATTCATGTCTCTGAGTTTTTATAGCTATATCTACTGTAGATCCTGGTTTACAGGAGAACAGGAGTTTTGGGAGGTTGTTGCGGGCTTGTCACATGAAAAAGTATTGTGTAAAATTTTCAACTCCTAAATCGTTTTTTGCTCTAATTTTTACTCGACTGATATACAGGTGTGCCTGTGTTCTGTTTACACCCTGTAGAGACGCCTATGCAGATTCACTATGCCAGAGGTGTGTTACTGTTTTTTAGGGGATGGAAGATGGGGTACTTACACGATTGATTGGCCCTCCGGTAACTTTACCAAACGGCGATCACACAACGTAAGCGTTTTTCAGGTTTTGTGTGATGTCGTGTTGACATTGTGTTCAATATTTGCAATCGGCTCGTTATCTATTATGTAGGAACACTATCATTATATGAATTCACTCGTTCGGAGAACATCAGGCGTGACGTTATGGGTTATGTAGATATGGGGAATATTTAGCTATCAATATAAATGTTTTAGAATTTCAAGTGATTACATTTAGTTAACTATTTTAGCGGTGTGTTACATAATACTTATAAACATAATATCACGCCTTTATTGATTTATTAACTGTAATCAGGTGGTAGTTCGGTACGTTTTTTCAGTAGTGAGGAAAATTCTCACACATAATAATGTGTGAGTTTTTTCGAAACCTCAAAATACTTAACGATAAGTACTTTGTCCGACCCGGAAAACTAACCCGAAACATTTTACTCAACTCGCACTTTCACAACATGACTAAACAAAAAAAAAACATACAGGTAATCAATAAAATAATTGGATAATAAAAAAAAGTAAAGCTCACAAAATACAAAATTGAGACAGCCATCTACATCGATGATCTGATAGAAATACGAGAGCGTGGCTGCTTATTATTCCGCACAAGTTTGCCTGAATCAACTGGGACTACCAAGACAAATGAGTTGTTTTGGTGTTCGTCTGCCGTCGCTGAAGGATTAACAACCTATCACAACTTGTACAAACATGTACAGAGTACAGACGTAACAATTGAAGACTTGTATTTTAGTATCTACCTAGATTATCCTTACTATCCTTACTAGTCCTTACTAATATTATAAATCGGAAAGTGAGTTTGTTTGTTTGTTTGTTCCGCTTTCACGCCGTAACTACTAAACCGATTGCTTTGAATTTTTAAAGACGTAAAGTTAGAAGTCCGGATTAACTAATAGGGTACTTTTTATCCCGGAAAAATGTGATATTCCCGAGGGAAAACAAAAGTATTGGTGTAGATGGCGCTGTGAGTATTGGTATATGTCACATAGGCTACTTTTTATCCTTTTGTGACGCGAGCGAAGCCGCGGGTAAAAGCTAGTACTTACTAAGTCCTTCTGAGTAGAATATAATATTTGTCACCAGCTCCTGTCTGATTGCGGGTCTCGTAGAAGCTAATTTAGGAGACTACATTACACATTTCATGATATTTCACAGATATCGAGTGTCATCGCTATATGATAAATCTGGTTTTAAATTGCGATCACTAAAATAATCAAAAGACAGACCTACTTGAAAAGCGCAGAGATTATATATGACACCTAAATTTGTCAGAAAAGAAAATAGCAATTAGGTACTTAAGTCATTTAACTTCTTATTAATCAATCAGTTAAAGATTGTATTTTCATTATTCTTCAAATTGTCATCACAGGATAACAATTCCATTCTTAATAGGTTCATAATTTAAAAATACACAAAATACAAAAGGTCATTTAATGTTTCCTTACTCCCTTGGTTATGTATAAGGAAAGAAAGAAAGAAAGAAAGAAACATAATTTATTCGCTACGGTACGGGTACAACTAAAAATGTTTTCATACATAATATGTAAGGAAGGAGTTTGAGAGGGACTTATGGGAGAAAGTCATTGTAGAAACAGTTGAGTACCGAAAATAATAATTTGACCACCTTTTCGTCCTTTGGGGGTCGTAAACGTAGTAATACGTGCTTGCCTAACTTAAGACAATAAATATAAACTCGTGGCCGTATCGTAATAACAAATTGACATCATCTATATTTATTGTCATAGAAGATAACCTAAGCAGTTGTACTATGCCTAAATCTTTATCAATTAGGAAACTATCGTTTAATTTGAGTCGTCATTAAATCTGTGTGTGACCTTGAAAACGAACAAAACCTAAGTGACCTATTTAGTTTGTAAACAGTTGATACATTTTCAATACTAAATATTAAAAGCATGTTAGTATTAATAGCTACCTGGTGAAGCACAATACGCCAGACTTCACAAGGAAAGCACCAAGCGCTTGAAGTTAGGTAATAAACCGTCCCATCTAAGCACACGTCCCAAGAGAAATTAGAGGTAGTTTAGTATCTACGTGCACAATATTTCGCCATAGTAATTTTATGATAGAAGTTACCGTGACTTACGCCAATAGATACCGTATGCGAGCAAACAATCACAAGGTTATTACGGTAAGTACTGGGACGATCGAAGCCAATCTATTAAAAGTTTATAGACAGCCGACCGTTCAGATTGATTGAACAGCTCACTTTATTTATTCTATACGTCCGAAGTTATTCTCTGCAACTGCTGTGACTTTTATGCATTTCTTTATGTGTATTTTAGAGACTATGTCCCCATTCATAGCTACTTTTGTTATTCAAGGAGTGAAGTTAGTTCTTAAAGTTTTGATAGAGATCATTAAGGTGTCTTACTGTTAAATTTATTTCTGCAGTTTTATGGCATTAAATATCTGGTCGCAGCGAGTAGTGGGTAGTTAAAGGAACTTTAAGTTGTGTAATGGTATTTCTTAAGAAAATGACAAGAAGTGATAGAAAATATATTTTATCCGCCAGTTTCACCACTTCTGGTTGAGTCTGAATTAGTCTAGTTGGGAGTAAAATTTACGTATCTTCCGTCTAAATTGTATTTAATTATGTATCAGAGAAGCTAATAAAAATTAGTTGGAAGTCCTCAATGTTTTTAAAGGTAGAAAGAAATGTGATATTCCGGGGTGTGATTTTCACTTTTATTTTAGGTCAAAAATTCAAACTTTTCGAGCCTTGGTGTAAATACTCTGTGATGACCAAACATGCGCTGCACTCTTTTACTACGTTGACCAGGCAAAGGGAGAATTAAAGTATGACTATGAATATTTTACGAGGTGGTATTTTGTACACATGGTTTTGATAATTTTTTGTGTATATTTTTATGTATCTAACAAGTGCTATATTTGTTAAACTACTAGTTTTTCCCAGAAATCGGAAATATAATTTCCCAAATATTCGAAAAGAAGACCTAATGGATACTCTTCTTGGAAAGAACTTGTAAAAGTGCATGTGAATATTTGTTAGTGCTATATAAATCAGTTTGGAAAAATACAGTAAGTATAAATCTTCAGTATTTAACAAATAAACCGTCATCTCACCAGCACAACTTTGTAAGAACCCTTATCAAGCATATAACAGAAGCACCTCCGTAAGTACTTAACATCGGTTGATGGGATACTAAAACAAACTTGAGATATGAAAACATTCACCAAGTTATTATTACGTTAATTATGTAGTTCGAACAACATACGTGATTATTTTATTCTGAATACGACAGGTAAACTACTCCTTAAAGGGATTACGTTAGCTGAAGCCCTAAGCGTGCGTTCGTGACCCGTTTGCCATCCACCGCGCATGCTTAGGTACATTGCTATACTAAACTGGGCCTATGGATTCACTCGTCTGATTTTGTAACATTTACAAAAAGATTTACTTTAGTTTTTTGTACATTTCGTAAATACTGAATCTGCCATAATTATCAAGATTTAATAGTACTTTACGATTTATTACTCAGGTTAATTTCCTTTGTGCAAATACCCGTCTATATTTCCAGAAATATAAAATTTTCGTATTATTTATCACCGTAGAGGAAATTGGAATTTTTAAATCAGGCAGTTTCTAAACGTGTCAGTAGATTGACCTTTGCAGATGCTTTCAGTCATCAATTCTGTGATAAACATCATTTGTATAAACTTTCAAGTCTTAACCATTTTGTTAAATGTAGTCTGTAGGTAAGTTACCTGCGCTTAATTTAATAATAGTACTTGTACTAATGGTAATCTTTTACCAAGGGCGACATGGTAGTCTGCGATATTGGTTCGTAGAGGCTCGGCCGGGTGACTTGCTACCGGCTACAGTGTAGTGCACGTTGGACATGAGTGAGGTTCCCGAAGTGGTAGTGGAACATTGCAATGGTGTGGAGACTGAAGCTGAGGCCACGGAAGAGGCGAACCAGAATGGAGACGACGGGTATGTAGCAAATCTGATTGCGGTAGATAGTTCAGAGCTCGAATACTCCCAAGTTATTCGACAAAGTTCAGCTAAGTTGAAAAGCTAAATAGTTTCTCTACATAGTTTAGTTTGTGCTAATTTCATTTGAGAGTGTTCATCAAATGTTCATCTGGATTTAGGGTACCAGAAAATCAAACTTTTACAAAAATAAACCTACTTAAAGAGCACTTGAAAAAGTGCGATAATGAATCGGATTTTTCTATTTTGTAGATTGGCCATTGATCCCAAACTGGGCTGCCGTGTTCATTTCCCGAGTGACGTCATAAGAGAAACGTGAGTTAACTTAGTGGCAGCAAGTCAGCCAGGTTACCTGGCGGCGGCGCGCTGCCCGTGACGTCATGGCCTGTCCCTGTCCCCATCACGTTCTGACGTCTATCTGTACGCACTAGCCTCGCTTGCATCACTCATTCATAACTCCGATTATTCATGCACGGCCGAGCTTAATGCACGCACTCCGGAGCCACTTCACAATGTTTTGTGTTGCAACGCCATTCAATGTTTGTGAAAAGAGCGCAAAATGAAAATACGTATTTTAAGTGTTTACCAACTCGAGTGTGTGAGTGTGAGAGTAAAGTTTCATTTGTGTTTAATATTTTTTGTGAAAAAAAAATAACTACGTTTTTACTTCTTTAATTATGTGTTTGGTATTAATACCAAGGGCGTCAGCGCCGTTAAAGTAAATTTAGATTAAAATTTAGTTTAATAGACTAACATTACTCATAAAATTAGTCTGTCGTCGGCCAAAACAATGAATATCATTACAAACAAAATTAAGCAAATGTCTGCATCGTTGCATCGCAAAACCTGTGTAATCCATTTGAAAATAAAAAACGACAAAATCAATAGTCAACCAATTATTTAAGAACGAAAGTAATTACTCAACGTCAAATTATACAAAGACTTTTTAAAAATTCATCAAGATATACAGTACCAAACCTAAAGATCTAATTTAAAGATATACTGTCAAAAATGAATTATTGTGAAACTAAACTCTGGAAGAATGGACCCGGGAATTTTTGATCCTTTCGGTTTTGATCAATACAAAGGTACTTAGAAAACATTTATTATCTTTCTTAAGTATCTCCTTAATCCGATAAATTCATTGCAAGGTCTTCGCATTGACATTAGGAAGCCCGTCCACCGCGACCTCCTTACACAATGAGAAGATAATTATTCTTTTACTTCGTTAAACGGCTTTTGAAGTCTTATTGATGACTTTCTGTAATTTTTTGAACTTAGTCTTTATATACGAATAATTTAGTTTAATCTTTCCGTACAATAGGAAAGGCTTAAATTATACGGATGTCATAATATTACTGGTGAAAAGTAGATTTTTGACATAATTAACTGCAATAAAGTTTACCCTTTAAATAAATAAAAGGCGTGTTACATTAAAAACCATTTGTTTATCTGGATAAACGAGTGTAGACCAGGCAAAAGAAATATACAAGGCACTTCCTGTTTTGTGGTTTCTGTCTACCACTTAGAGATAAAAGAGGTTTTAATTTGCTTTAGTTTATGTATATGGCAGGTAAAATATGTAGATAACATAACATAACATCACGCCTTTTTATCCCCGAAGATAATGCTACTGTACAATGTAGCACCCACTTTTCACTATTTACGTTATGAGTCCCATGGAATAGGTAGATACAACAGTCAATATCTGGAAAATTATAACATCTTTCGAAGATGAAGGTAGAAAAGTGGAGGAGGGGTGGGGGTGCAGACGACATGTAAACACGTCATTGAACAATAGTCCTTTTTAAATACTGCTCCATTAAGAGAAGGTGTTCGTGTTGCAGTCCCTGTTCCATTGTTTGAACAATTCTCGCTGTACTAGACGGTTGTTCCTCGCTGTCGTATTTTTGTTTGCTGTAAGTTTTTGTCTTCCTCAACTGAAATAAAAACATTTTACTATATCTAAATTGCTTACTAATTCATCGTTATTCTTATTGTTATTATGATAATAACATATAAGTTTGTTAAATCTACTATAACCAACATTTGACATAATGTTTGGTAAACTAACAACATAAATAATTTAAATAATGTGAAATGAATTTCCTTTCAGGTAAGTGCTTGCAAACTTCCTACGAGTTCAGAAACTCATATGTGAAATCGATGCGACGTCTTGGAAACGGTAAGTAAGCAATATATTCAGTAAAAATAACCATCATCTTACAACTTTGTTGAAGTTGAAGTTGTTGAAAGTCACTCTGTCTACTAAAACACAAATCTTTTAACTTCAGGTATTTTTCACAGTTACTTGTAATATGTAAAGTTTTATAAAGTACTAAAAAGTAAAGTCAAGTAAATCTATCAAAATATTTGTAACTGTTGAAATCTTTAGGAATTTAGAATATTAATAATCAGTTAGCGTAGCTGAGTCTACGAAATATGGACTAGGCGTGCTGTAGCGACTACGCGCGGTGTAGCGTCGCCGCGTCGTAGCGCGTAGGCTGCAGGCCCGTAGCCTGTAGCAAGCCTACGCGTCTCGTCGCTTATACCAAATAGTTCTAATTGGTTTTGTTACGCGGCTGCCTCAACTACGATTTCGTACATATTATTATTAATTAGTTTACTTAACTAAAGTGAAGTTGTAAATAGGGTATGTTGAATTAATTGACTTTGTAAGATAAATACGAAGTTGAAACTTTGTGTACTGAAAACCTTTTTGTTGTTAATGAGGTCGATAAAATAGAAGTCAAATAAATACGTATGTAGATACAAGTTGGAACTGGTTTGCTTGTATTGCTTTATTTGTTATCAGGCGACTACGGGACCTCGTTTTCTTAGTACAAACATTAGGCACGCGATATTTACTTCTTCATTTACTCAAGTATTTTGAAACGGTACCGCTGTCTATATTTTTTAACAAAAGTATCTATAATACTATAGTTGTGGTTGTACAAAAGCTATAAAGATTGACATCTGCATCAAATACACTGTTTCGCGCACGTTTTTTACAAAAATTGTGAGAAAATAATTAACTTTAAAAAGTAGAAGGTAAAATGAACTTTATCAAAGCAACAAGAATAGGTTAACTTTAAAAACAACACTAATAATAAGAAGCCGACTGACGTGTTTTCTTGTTATTTTCTTAGCGTACAACAAGAAAAGTTTGTTGGCTCGTATTTTTTCACCGGACATTCAGACGCAGGCTTTCATTGCATGTCGTTGACATTCCTCCAGCTCGCACGGAATAATTTGCTTCCCCTTTTATTATGAGAAGCGCTCAGCAGTAGGACTGGGATATTCCGGCCGTGCCCCTATTCTCAGATCGTTGTAATTTTGATCTCTAGTCATCTGTAAATTGCTTTCTTTTAAAATAAATACACATAAACTGTTTATTTACTTTACATTAATTTCTTACAATCGAATAAAGGAAGGACAATTTAATAAGAAACTTTAGTGCTTTAGCGTTTAAATATTAAAATAACAATGCCCACTTCAGATGTTTACTTTATCTTATGAATAATTCTTAATAATAATTAGTGTAAAAATTAACATGTGTATTTTTTGAATATTTTAATTATGGTGTCGAGTTCTGTACGGGCGATTATAATTGCAAATGAGTTACAAAATTATGCGTTAGAAATAAATTGTTAGGCGGCGTGTTAACGGTTGAAGTTGGCCATTCGTTCTAGAATTCTTTTGTAATATTTCGGTATTATGTTTTAATTACTAAAGTACGTTCATTGAATAATGGTGAAACGTTTTATTATTCGTGTTAAATCAGAAATCTTATCACAAGGAAGTTAAACGCTTTGTACATTTTGTGTGAATAGGTAAGTAGTGTTGAAAGAACTCTTAGAATATAAATATATCTTCTAGGTCAATGTGCTTTCCTCATAATTCTTACAACAAAACAATGTGTTAACGTTACTTTGTAAATAGTGTGCAATATATTTAACGCAGATTCTGTGAATATATTGAAAGCGGAGAGTGTTGAACGTGAAATACGTCGGCGTACGTGTCGAGAACGATTAGACATCTTTTAACGCGATCGCACGCGCTTCGATAAACACTTAGGTGCGCTTAAAAGTGTGGGACGGTATGCGAGGAATTTAAGGCATTGGGCGAGGAGCAAGAGCGGCGGGGGCGCGGCCGCCCGCCCTGTACACGCGGCTCGCGGGCTCGTGCCTGCCATCCGACAGTCGGCTTCGCGGCCTCTGAGCGGCGGCGTGCGCTCTCCTTGCCGTTCCCGACACTCGATCGCGCGATTCTTGTAAACAGTTCGCGTACGTGTTACTACTACCCTTCCGTTCCCGCCAGCGGACAATTTGAAAATCTGATTTAGACCAACAACTTGAACAGTGAGTGTAAGGTGGACTTGGACCTAACTGGTGATGGTGCGGCGTCATGTGTGGTGATCATCATGCGGGCGCCGCTGCCGGCTAACAGCTCGCCTTGTACGCTACCTACTCCACGTGTTTTGGTAAGTGTACACAATGTATATTATGTTTGGTTAAATAAAGTTAATGATATGCCCCTGTGATCAAACACGTGTAAACAACTTCTTAAGTTCATTAAATTTCCACAGGAATTCGAAATAGACAAAAGGTGGGTAGATGAATAATTGATGTATGAGAATTAAACTGAATGAGAACGTTACGAAACAAAATAAGTTGGACCTAAGAATCAATTAAAATCTTCATAAAGTACATTAAATATGGCTCATATAATCATATAAGCCATCAATTCAAAGTCCATCTGAATAACAATATTGTGATCGGCATTATTCAGGGTACTTATTGTAATTATTATTTCACTAGACCCCAAAATTTCTTCAATTAGTAGAGTAATAAAATATAAGTAAAAGGGAAGGTATTTATGGTGACAAATTAAGGCCTCTCCCTTTTATTTAAGGACGGTTAAATATTCATTACCTGTACCAGGTATTTGAGACGGGAGACCTCTTTCAATAACTGTTTCAAAAGTTGTAAAGTAATCCATTATTTTGTTTTACTTGCGACACCTACTGCGGGAGGTTGAATTGACCTTTTCCATTTTTTTATTATTAAATAAAATAGAAGATATACCTACAGAAAACCTTATCTAGAAACACCATATTTTCACAAATCCAACAAATGTCCCACTCCCAGTCAACATTGACATACATTCGAGAAATACTATTCGAGTGTGTCTATATATAAGGTGGATTGACATCTACTAACTACCCAAATTGAACTTCAGAAGCTAGTCGATCGCTCAAATTCTGAGCAAACTCTATACAATCTCCAATAGGTACTCATCCAACAATAGATTAAAACACCATGGCTATTCTCGTTTCATATCGCAGATGTAGCTAGAGATACATTTTATAACTAAGCGACTATAAAACTGAATATAACTCAGTTATTCACCGGAAAGAATACGAACATCGTTTCAACTAAATATTTACCTACGCTAAACTAAAAATGCGTTGTTATTGCTCTAAACACGCTCGTTTTCAACATTTTTATATTTTACGATATTAAATGATAGCACAATACGTCAGATGGCTAATGAGCCACGGCCTCACACCGACTACTCACTAAGTGGCTCGCTTATAAAAATATTCAATCACTGTTGGAATAAAGCAATATACCTTGTCACCTTCAAGCTCCATCATTTTCTAAAAAGGACGAACGACCCGAAAATATTGAAATGTTTTTATAAGTTGCGTGGAGTTTATATTTTATGAAAGTAAAAACATAAATCGTGTGTTGAGGTATTGGTTTCTATGTTGCTTTCATATCGATTTGAAGTTCAGTACAGAAAGGTGTGTTTCTCTTGTATAAAATAGAACAAAATGAGGTCCACGAGGACACAGGTATATGCGAGCTTGTTACAGTGCTGACACAATTTTGTAATGAAGAGCTCCGAATACAACAATACCGGCATCGTAAAAATAGAATACCATGTTATTACCTCGTGTGGCATGTATCAAGGTCTGATTGGTGTATCCCCCTCGGCGCAGTTTGCCCGCCTTATGTCACGCACTAGCCTTCTCCAATTAGGTTTTTATACCGGGATAATCCCCGGATTTCGGAAATAATTTGTGGGGCGAAATAAATCCATGTTGCCATAGCAGGTAATCGCCACATTTATAATCAACTCTTGGAAATCAAAATGTTGATATTAATTTGTGTTTTTCGTATTTGTTATATATTTTATGTATGTTGATTTAAAATAAATTAGGTCATTTGCATGCCTGTATAATGAAAATAAAACAAAGACCTATCAATCCAGTGTAAAAATCGTAGTTCGTACAATAATTATTATATTAAAATGCGTAAGGTACTTTGGTAACTAATTGAGAAATAAGTAAACGAATAAGCTAGTTGAAACTTATGCACTTGAATAAATAATACTTTTTATTACAAAACATAATTATAATTATTTTTTGGTACAATATCAGAACAAAATAATTTTATTTTCAGAGAAAATAGTAAAATAAATAAATACGTTTCAATTTTATTGTTATTCCTCTGAATACCTATTTTGGATAGAAAGTTAAACAAAAGTGACATCATTTACAATGAAACTAGTTGTATACTCGACTCTAGCTAGCTCTAGCTTATATACAATGGTGTCATTTTGTCTTAATTATGACTGTAGTTGGTTTTGTAGGCAAAAAGTTACGCAGGGATTAAATAAATTTTGTAACCCACCCTCTGATGTGATGAATGGATAATTTCCCCTCCTTCATTAGCAGTTCGCGGGTAGTTGCTAAATGATATCCGCTTGGGCCAGTTCGTTATCGCGTAAAAATTAAAAAAATGTTCTTTAAGCTGTAGGTTCTTTTACAACGACGTTTAATCTTAATGATTTACTCAAAGATACTTGAGATTTATAATGTTTAAACATAGAAGATAACAATTTAATAAATAAAAAAAATGCTTGTAAAAATAAACGAGCATCATTCAAAACGTTATAAATGCGTTTAAAAACGTCTAAAATAAATATTCTTGGATACTAAACATGTTGAATGTTAACGTTATCATCAATTTTCCAGCACATAAATATGTCATTATATTAACATCATATCCCTGTGTACAATAGCTTCCATGGATATCCATTAATACAGTTATCTCCATGACAACGCGGGTAGCTCAGTCGTAGATAGTTTCACGTTAATCGGATAATCTAATATCAGATGAATAAAGACAAACAATCGTAACTGTCTCTTTTACGCATCAGAAATATTTCAAAGAGAATGTAAATATACAAGATCTGTTGGATGTTGGTTGTGAAGACACACATCAAAATATCTAGCTACGATGATGTTTCGAATGATGTTTGTTTACCATCAATCACTGGTGGTGTTGTGCGTAACGAGACGTGTGCGCACATTAAGAACTGGGTGTCGTTTCCGCGGCAGAAGCGCGGGCGCACCGTGAGCCTTGACGCAATAAATATATTGAAAACTAGCTGTCTACAGCTAGTCATTTTAAAATTTTACAACTAAATTTATGATTATTTAAATTATCTGCTAATGATGAGACGTTTCATTCTTTTTTATATTTAGTTTGTTACTTTTATTCGTTGATGTCTAGTTGTCTTCGGGAGAAACGTGCGTCTGAAAAACAACGATTAATTGGTTTTATAATGCTACCTTTTTATCTACATTTATTTCCCTATACGAGGCATATTACGAAAAAACCTAATTTGTTAGCAAGTATTTTTTTCTTCTGTAGTTGCCCTGTTAGAGTGGGTAAGTCTCAATTTTACCAATTTGAAGAATGCTTATTATTAAAAATTCACAATTACGATTACTCGAAAGTTTCAGTGGAAGTATCTCAGACGTCCATTTGAAGGTTTAAAAGCTTTTAATTTTTATATCAGCTTTTAATTTTCTCGTATAACGTACCGAGAATTTTAAACATGTATTTTTTATTAAAATAAACAACATAATGGTCCTATAAGTTACGGTTGATGTGATACTGAGTGCAAGTTATTCAAGCCATTTTTATATGTTTAAACCCATTGCTTAAAGTTAGATCTACTTTAAAAGCTAAAACGATTTACGGCTTTACTGCGGTGGTGTAAAGATGAAAGGATATATGAGTAATTGTTAGTCGCTTCCATAGTTTACACTATTAGGCACTCGAAGAAAAACACGAGAAAGCTCTCCCGTGTGTCACGTAGTGGAATGAAAAGTCACTTTGAATTGGAAATGGTCGTCCTCCAGTAACTTTCACTGGCATCAGACGTGGCAGCTACAAATCATTGCGTATATTACACCAAGCGTGTCTACGTAACGTTTAATACAGAAACCTGATAACGCTACTAGTATACAATAATAGAACGAATAACAAAAAGCTGATTTATACGAGGAATCTGTAATTATACCTTTAAGTATTTGGATGTAGGTCACCTAAAATGACCACTTATTATGGAAAACACTTACAGATAGTTAGAAAGATAAAAAGAAAGTACTTGTACATTTACAGTTATGAAGTTATTATAAAGATAAGATATGATAAAAGCATACAAATGGATTTGCTTCTTTTGTAAAGGAAATTCAAGTACCGAAGTAACTGAGTGGCTTAAATAGATTTAACTCAAATTAGGTTCCAATACGACTGTCAGCGTTTCAGAATGATGAGAATTGTAGGGAGAATGCACTGATCAAAGAGACTGAATAGTAAGCATTGTGACACATGCTCAAGGTATTGTCTGCAGAGTACACGCATGCCATGTCTGTCTAATGGGCACGGAAAGTAGCTCAACAAAACGACAATCGAAAGAGTATCACCGTTTAGTTCTGTAGTCTCTTAACTATTTTTCTGTCTATTCTGCAGTTATAAAAAGACACTGACTTTCTTTTGAAATAGAGTTGCAAATCAGTTTTATTTATTTGACGTCGGTACCTCTTAATCTTGTTTCTCGCTTTGGACTCGAGACAAACAGCGTGACGAGATACGTGACGAACGCGGTGACTTATCAATTTACGTATATATCGGCTTTCGAGTGCCATGTAGGCGTTGTCGACTGCCAAATCTAAGAAACCACACCTCCATCAAATCTGAAGAAGACGGTGTTTTCGTACAATTATATAGGCTTTGCGGACACTTTCTAGTTGAATACTAAACGTGATTCAAGTAAAACACACGTCTTTTAAAATAAAACTTATATTGTACTAGTTTACAATAACAATATTTTTAATAGTCTTAAAGATATTTTATTGCTTTGTCAATTCAATTTTTCACCGATCGTCCTATCAAAAATACCTATTTTCAACATTTTTTATTATGTGATAGCTACTTCGTTTTGGGATGCCACGTTGTTTTAGTATGTCTTGTTTGACTGTTTGTTGTTTTGCAAGTCAACAAGTAATAGATATAATTATACTTATGTACCTTTTGCATTAAAAAAAATATACCAATGTATCAATTCTGAATAAAGTGTAGTAAAATATCTCTTTCAGCTACCTGTTTCACATTTGCATGCTAATGTGATTCGTTAACGGGAGCGTACGAACGATTTGGGCGTTCGTCGATTTAAACGGTTCTTGTATTTAATTTCTTTTCCCTTTCACGTAAAGCGTAGGGTTTACTGGAACGTTTTATTTTAATAATGACTCAATTCCTT